CTGTGTTTTATATCCTGCGGCCAATATCTGCACTCCAACTTCTCCTGCGGTTCTTGACATTCAGGCCGAAAATGGAAAAGGGGAGTAGGATTGTTCAGGGAGAATAGTGAGGGTGGAGAAAACGAAAAGTGGGCCATGAGTCTCGCATTTTATTGAAACTTTTCTCTGTACTCTCGGAAAACCTTCATTTATTTTTTGCTTTTCAATCGTCTTCTTTCTGCTATCTTTCGTCTACGCTTTTTTTTTTTCGTCTATCACGTCACATTATTTTTTCTCTACTAAATTATAATCCACCGAATTTATTACTAATTCAATAAAAATTAAAACCATTTCAAATAATATTAATGAAGTTTATAAATTATAATATAATAATAATAATAAAAAAATAATAATAATAAAGTTGGAGCTTTAAATTTACAGGTGTTATCAAGTATCATTCAACTCTAACATGAGTATTTTTTTTTATACAACAATTAAACAGATAAAACAAAATATTCATTTATATTATTTGAATCATAAATTTCAACCCTCTCGTTATTAAAGTTATCAAATGAAACAATTAATTTTATACATCATATAATTGTGTTTAATAAATTCATATTATACTTTATGAATTTCATTTCAACATTCAAACGGTCTTAAAATGCTGAATATAATTTCATTTGAAACACTCGTCTAATGTTAAATAAAGAAATGATTTACCTACAACATTACTAAAACATTCTACTAAAGTATGAGGCTTGGAAAAAAAAAAAGAAATTTATAAATTAACTTGATATAAATGAGTCGTTTTTTTCATTGTCACAAGATAAAAACAATGGTACGAAAATGTTTTCTTGATACAAAAGCTAATAGAAAATTAGGTCAATATGACGTGAAACTTGAGGATTAATTCTATTGTAACTTTCATGTTAATTTAAAAATAACTTGACAATGTTGATCCAAAGTTCATTTGTCTTAATTAACAATTCAGATCCGTCAAAATGAGACAACATGATGGAGGTGGATTACATCGCCAAGAAAGATATAAAACAACATAATAACGTTAGGAAAAATAAACTACAATATTTAAATAATATCTGCTATACTTTAAAATGAGAGTTTTTTTTTTTTTTTGAAATAAATAAAAATATATCACTAGAGATAAAAAAAGTTAAATGGACATTATTAGATGCCATTATTACCATTTCATTTATAAACGATTGATTTAATATACCAGTGGCTGTGTTATTCGATAGAAACCAGCTGTTATTTTGAATTTAGGTATACAATACTTCTCTAAAATCTAGTGTGCAACACACTGCTGACGACTCGAGTGGAAATAAAATCGAAGCCAAGCCGTTATGGCTTTCCAATGAGCCATCAACGGCTGCTGTGTCGCGTTATCGTCGTACTCGTAAAGCCAACTGCCATGCCATCAGTTCACCCCTTCCCTTGTCCATTGGTTCCATAACCAGCTTAGAAGTGGAAAAAATTTTTTTTTATTTTTTGCAAATGATTTATATTGTGTTTATTTCTTTTCCTATCGAAGAGTTCGTTTACTTGATTTATAGTTTGTCATTTATTTTTAAGAATAATATATTTATGGAGATTAAATTTTTTCTGCTACAGCAACTGTGCTTACTTATGACATCGGAAAATATCACTGGGTTTTATTCACACTAAGTACGGTTAAGTACATATTAAATATCGTTAAGTAATCAGTTAAATTAGTATTTAAATCATTTAAGAACAAGGAAATAAACTTTTTATTGAAATTATAAACTTCTAAGGAAGTGAAACTACGTCATAAAATAAGAAAAGTGAAAATATTTTTTGTAATATAATATTTATAATATGTAATATAAATTAATTCTTGTAGAAATTCCCTTTTTTATTGCTGCAAAAATATTTTAGCACAATTATGAAATGTCCAATCTGGCTTTGGCTTGATACTTCATTATAGTAATTAAGTATTATGTAATTAGGTGTTAATAAATCGTTTATTAATGGCAAGGCTGTCATAACTTAAAATTCATAGTTGTCAGAAGGTTTTTAAGTTTAAATTATTTCAATTACTCTTATATAAGTATTTCTATCCGACTTTATTAACAACATTTTATAACACAACTTTTGTTGTGTTAAAAAAATGTTTTTTAAAAACTTTCTGTTATTTAAAATAATTATAAAATTAAACAATGCAAACTTTTCCAAATCCTTGTAAAGAAATTTTTTTATTTTTATAAAATAAATCTTCTTAACTAAATAATTGAATTATTTTTATAAAATCAATATTTTTTATTTGAATAACAAAATTAGGTCAGTGGTAATGAGAGTTTATAGTACTTTTAATGATTAAATAAATTTTCTAGAGCTTTCTGAATTCTTATTTATAAATGTAATCGCTTATTAATCGTTATTTATAAATACCTACTGCTCTGATTTCTCTTATTAAAGGTATACATTGGCAATATAATTTTTCAGTCTCTCATTATCATTTTATTTTAATTATCATATTCCTTTGTAAGCTTCTAGTTCAATATGTTTTATTGCTATTATATATGTACGTTAATACGCCCATAGTAACTATTTCTATACACGGTTCTATGCTATATATAATTTTCATTAATATCAGACTAGAGCTAAATGATATGATTGGTTCAAAGAAAATAATTATATTCGTCAAAGGATCATTAGTCTTTAAGTCAGGATGTAATATAAATGTGTTTACACACGCAAGTCAAGTTAATTGAACTCACTTGCAGACCAAAATACAATATGTAAGCCATACATAATCATGGTAATTATAGAAAGAAAGGTCAGGAAACATTTTCCAGTTTCCTTTTAATCTATATCTATAACTAATAACGTTAATTCGCATGCGTGTATCACAACTTGTTATGATAAAAATATATCTTTTTTTCGTTTTATAAAAATTACTTTGTAATAAAAATAATACAACTCTTTGTCTATATTTTATCACACAGCATACTACCATATCTGATATTCTTTTTTTCGTCGTAAAAATAAATCAATTAAATTTTTTATCAAGAGAATAAATTTTTTTCAACAGTTTAAATGTAACTAAAAATAGAAAGCGAATAAATAATAGAAATAAAAAAAAATGGTAACCCGCATTTTATAATTAAAAAAAAAAAGTATTCTCATTAACAAAAGACTCTTTTTTCATGAAATAAACGAAAACCTCTTAAAAACTTCAGTTGTCCCTGTTTTCCTTTCTAAATAATCTACCTTTTATATTTTACTCTTAGTGCAGAAACTGATAAACTTCGTTAAAAATCTTACAAAGGCGCTTTTTAATTACGGTAATTAAAAATACTTGAATACTTATTACAGGGAGCTTTACTGACCCTGTTTACTTTAGCATACATCAAGGGAGATAGGAAGGATTGAATCGCTATCAATGAGGGTTCATTAACTGACCAATATGGAATGTCAATACTCTGGGATAATAGCAATCGTAGTAGGAAGGTTTAATAACCAGTGCCAACAGAGTAATAACTATGATTCACCTGATGTAAGTATGTGTGAAGAAGGAAGTTACAATACTGCCTTCGTCACGGTATCTTAGACAGTATTGCGCGACGACATGAACACAGGTTGACTTGTAAGAATGTCCAAGCACCTGCCAACCGTCACATGCATTTCGGGACATCCGTTGACCGTTGACGATACGGTCTTTTGCTCAGAAAACCGTTGCCCTTATCCTTAACAACTTCTTCAAATAAATTATTTATATCTAAATTTGTAAACCGTCAGTATCATCTGTTCTCTGATTCCTTATTTTTTCCTGTCTTTAACAAATTCTAACAAGTGAATAAAGTTTAATAATAATTAAAAGTATTTTATTTAATTAAATCCAATTTATCAAAAAATATTTAATTTTTAATTATTTTTTTTTTCTAACTTCATGGAAAGTAAGCTTCATTTTTAAAGCAATGAGCTCATCAATCTTTAAATTAATTAGTTTCTCACCCCACAATTTTTTATTACCATGTTTTTGATAATGATATCCCTAATCTAGACACTTTGATCATGAGATTCTTTACTATGTGACACCTGATGCTAAAACCTATCATTGACAGTCACTTGATCATGAAAATCAAAACCATGGATTCCAATGTACCTTTTTGAAAACATCAATGAACATAGTCTTCATTAATAGAGTCACCCAACAATTGATCCCATCACTTTGAAAGCCTCTATAAAGTGAATCGCTATAAACTATTTTACATCAAAAATATTAATTCTATCAATTGTGGAATTTAAATTTCTTTGAAGTTGAATGCCAATAAAATTAAAATAATTTCATCAAATTTTTTGATAGAGATTAACATGTTTTAGACAAATAGAAATAAAAAATTATAAATTTATATAAGAAATTTAATCCAAACAAAATAATTAAATTTCTTCAATAAGATCTTCAAGATAAATGATGAAATAATATTTTATGAAATTTAGAAGGAATTGTATTATTTGATAACAAATTATCTAAAGTCTTAATTAATACATGAGACTTTGCTCTCACATAATTGTTTATAAATATAGTTAAATTTACAATTTAATAATAAGATGTAAAAGCTGTAAATCCTTTTCCTTTGTAAATTTATGTAATCATATTATGGAAGTTCAAGTATGAGTTAATGTTATTCAGACTAATAATTTTAAATAATTATTTCATTTACCAAAAAAAGTTTCAATTTTTTTTTAAACCACTATAATATAACTACTCTATTAATTTTTTTTTAAATTTCATAATTCCTTTTTATAACTGAGTCACACAAAATATTTTATTTTCTTTATCATTATGAACCAAGTAACTGCATTTTTTCAATGCTAGAACGTGTGCTATAAAAGAAGCAATAGCACGATGCTATAATGATAAAAACTAAAATAACATAATAATAATTTTAAAAAACTGTATAACGACATTCTGAAAAAAGTTGAAGGATATGTTTTAAAAATTTTTTAATTAAAAAAATAATAACAAAGAAGTTATTGTATTTATTTTGCATCTTGAAATTTTAAGAGCACTACAATTATTCTAACTGATTTCTAGAAAAATTTGTATAAAAACATATGAATGCATAGAGGTAAATATACATATACCACTGAATACTTGAAAAATAGTTCGACCAATTTTATTTGTCAAATTGGTTTCTCATATTTTAGTTTTGAATAAAAAATGTTTTTTCTTTCCTATTCTCGTAACGTAACAAGTAAAGTTTGATGTTGAGCTCTCGATATTTTCAAGTTTGACGTATCGTTATAATTCAACCTAACTCTATTTAGATATCTTTTCATTCTCAATTTCAATTCTAACACTTAGTCAACTTCATTTCCATCTCTTGTCATCTATATCCTGCCTTTCGAAGTGACAAGGTTTTCTTAATACAATTCACTCGATTATATCCCAGTCAGAACACCATTATTCTCTAATAAACGAGCATTGAACCTTCACCACTTGAATTATCAAATGTGTAAAATGGAATTCAGAGAGATTTCAAATTCAATATTCCTTGTTAGTTATTTCAATGATAAAAATCGATGAAAAATGCATTTATCATCTAGATATTTTTATGAAAATGCTAATTATATTAGAAGATGAAATATTGAACTAAAGTAAAAATATTATTGTCTCAAAAATTACCATATTTATTTTCCTAATATGACATCATGAAAGTGAGACGTTAGATGATTTTATTTTTTTAAATTGAACATTAATTCCAAGGTAGTCACGTAAGAAGAGAGATTAAGAAGAGAACAAAGAGGAAAGAAGGTACTTGAGTCGAGTCAGCATCACCTGTGGCCCTTTCCGTTGTTTAACTAATGCTACACTTCCGCTTCACTACACAATTTGCTGCGTAACAAGTCTTGAGTTCATCTTAGAACTCAACTGCTTGTATCATTAAGATCTTATGCATCAGCTTTTTGCTATTCAAATTTGTCATTCCTGAAAATTGTAGTCTCGGTAAATTTTTCATGACAAGAATTTAGAATAAAAAGAAAAATAACGTATTAAAATTTCATATCACAAAAAATATATCATCCTAAAATTATTGAACAAAATAAATCCTAAAAAACCTTTTTTTCTAGAATAATTGGAAAATGGAGACAAATGATTGATATAAACGAAAAACAAAAAAACATATACAGAGAGTTAATTTCCAAAGTTATGTATCAATAGGAAAATGTGTATACAATGATGTATCAATATCTACTTTCTATTATTCACCAGACTTTTTCATTATATACGAACGAAAAATCGATTTGCAACTTCGAGTATTTGATGTGCTCTCCAACTGGCAAGGGAATTGCGTTCATTGTATTTGAATATACTATCATGAAATAGCGTGCATGTTTTGCCTTCAGTGAATTGAAAGGAATATAAAGGTTGAGTTGCATATCAAAAAATTCCTGATTACATAAGAGCAAAATAAAAGGTAAGAAATGTAAAAGTTATTTGTATAATGGATGAAAAATAAGAAGGATATATTCAGTAGCCATAAACTCATAACCATAATAATAAAAAATAAAAATAGGAAAGTATATAAGATGAAATAATTAATTAAACTATACTAGGCAATAAAAGTCTTAGTAAAAAATGGCATCACTATGCTTTAATTGCAGCTTGATGTTTCAAATAATAACCGATCTTTCAAGTACTTCTCCTGAGACTCTCAACAAGGTGAAAAGCTAAAGGTTTAATTTAGAGAGAAGAAAAAGCAGGCGCAAGAGTTCTGATTAAATGATTAAATATGCCCTGGAGATATAGTATTAAATTCTTCGTTATTCATTCACAAAGCCCATTGTTCACTTCACGACTCTTCAAGTAACTTTTTGCTCTATCATTAATTTTTCTTCTGTTGACCTATTTCTATAATCTCCTTCTTCTAAGTAATTCGAGCACTTTATTATACTGAAATTGACATCTATCACTTGAGTCATATTCCTTTTTAATTCGTTTCAATAACACAAAAATATAATAAATCGCTTTAAATTATATTTAACTTTCATCACAGCTAAATTTTCTAACCAAAATTTCTATTATTCTTTGCTGCAGTAATTACTCCGCGACCCTTTCTTCACAAAAACATTCATCCAAGTTCACTCGAAATAAATTCTAGAAATAAGAGAATTATTTAGTCATACTGTAACTTTTTTGTGAGTCAAAACATTAATAATTAGGTGCTTTATCCGAGTAATAATTGCAAAACAAAAAAAAAATAAAATTACAAAAACACAAATAATTGGTGTAAATTCTTGACAGCTTGTTAGCTCATTATTTTTTAGAATTGTTTCATGTCGATTTACAATGCCCACCTGTCAAGCTTTGTGGTTACTGTCAGAATGCGCGAGACACCCGTCAATTGGTTTGGATTTTTTAGTATCACTGAACAACCAAATTGAGCATACTTTCATCCATAAATTACATTTTTCAACAAAGTCATTGATGAATGCGTTACAACATCCAATATTTAAATATAGATTTACGGAAAATAAAATTTATCAATTGAAAAAAAGCACATACAGATGTACTCTTGATACGTTATTTATCAAATTTCGAAAGCTGAAAAAATAACTGACAATGTGTAGAGCTCTTACGCAAACGAAAGAAGAAAATATTTATCTGCATCAAATTTTAGCAGAAAAGAGATCTGAGTCTGTACTGTGATTGGTGGCATAACGATAACGCAAGCGAAAGAAGCGGCAGGTGTTCGTGTGTAAGACAGCTGCAATCACGACCACCAGCTGCTGCTAAGAAACCCTACCAATGAGGTGTGCTAGTATTCTGATGCCTCAAGAATTGCAATTATCCCCCTCGAAACACGTGCCCACTCATTTGCTGAATGGACCAATTTTTTTAGGAGATAATAAACGATACTCAGAACGACTCAGACTCTTCTTCTTTTGCCAGTTCCAAATTCAGCTGCAGTTATTAACTAAAGCCATTAAACTTCTCTTCACAATTCTAACATCCTACTTATTTAGATAATTACGAAAGTGATTCTGATTTGTTTCTGTCGAAGAACACTATGGCACGCGAATGTATTATTTTAAAACTGTTTTTTAGAATAAAATAAATCATCAAGATTTAATTCCAATTACTTCGTTTCAACTGAATAGAAAATCTTTAGTAAAGATAGTAATTCATTAATTGAATTCGTTTAATTTACTCTTACAATTTGCTGATAATAGCCGCTGAAGAATTTTTAATTAAGTGCAGTCTTTAAATGGAAAAGAAATAAAAATAAATAAAGTAGAATACATAAAGTGAAAAGAACTCAGTAATGTATGAAAAAATTCCAAGAAGAAACCTTGTACTGCTATCTAATGAACGAATAGTGTACTACAAAGTAACTAACCGATAAATGACCGACTGTGGTAAATCACCAAAAAAATATTCAAAAATATTTATAAATTGAGAAATAAAATTAGAAATAATTAAATTAAAAACTCAATATTAAATTTAAAAATAATTAATACATAACTATAAAAACATTTGATTATTAACTTATGTTTATTGACAACCTAATACCCATAATTTCTATCATCTATATCATACAAAAAATATATAACTATAAAAATATATGATTAACTAATATACCCAGAGATAAAAGGTGCCCCCACAAAAAAAAATCTGTTATAGCAACTCAAATTAACTCTAGACATCAATCAATCAATCAAAATTTTCAACAGGAAGACTCACAAGTAATTTTATCGAACAAGTCAAAATAATATCCAGTGAAAAATATTTTTTTATAGCTACCTTACATATTATTATCGATTACAATAAATTGTAAAAATCTACACTTCAGTATTCCACTAATATAGATCAATAATAAGAAACAATATGTATGAAAGTTTTTACAGCTGAACACATGGATTGATCTTTCATTTTTAACAGTCAAATAATTTAATAGTGAAATGCAAAGTTCAATAAAATTTTTACTTGTAAATTGATAGCTGTAATGCCTTTTTGCTATTTGCATTAATACTCGCTTATAAAAAATAGGGTATTAACTTAGGAAAATACCCTAACACAAAATAAATCCACTTAATAGCGACCTGAACGACCATCTCGTCCCTTATCATCTCTACTTCTCTTACGTCGATCTCTAGATCGTGATCTACGATCTCTTGAACGAGATCTTTTCTCACGTGATCGGGATCTGCGTTTACGATCACGACCTCGAGATTTAGATCGAGATCTTGAACGTCCTCTTCCTCCTTTCCTACGACTATACAAATATCGACGCAGATCACGAGAGATTGGTTTCAGATGCATGAAATTGCAAAATCCTGATCGAGTACACTCACTAAAATAAGGCATTTATTAATAAAGAATCAGATACTAATTAAACAATTACTACTCACTATGATTTTGTGACTATTAATAATACTTCATCTCAAGTATCTGGCAGTTTTGTAAATATTTATTTTAATATTTATTTTAATAAGAAAAATGATTCAGTACTTACCCCATCTCATACTGACGACAACAAGCTTCTCGGAAATCTGTCACTGGTGATAACTCAGCATAAACAGGCCGTCCACCAAACCAACGATTATTCAAATCAGTTACCGCTTTCTCAGCATCTTCTTCGCGTCGAAATTTGATGTAAACATTACCAACAAGATGATCTCCTAAATTATCGCATACATTCATCTCCTCAATTTCACCATATTTATCTTCACACTCTACAAATACGTCTTCGAAAAAATTATCATAATGCTCTTGCATTTCTTCATCCGTAACATTTGCTACCACTAAAAATTTTATTTTAATTAATTATTATATTCCAATTATGTATTGATATTCATTAAAGACAAAATGAAATTATAATACTTACGATGAGAACCATCTGCACTTTTTGCAGAATTTTGTGGGTTTACGTAAAGATTTTGTAACAAACATGTCTGCAAAATATAAGTGTTATGATTGCATTCAAATAAAAGGAATCTACATATAAATTACATTCCAAACTTACTTGGCTGAATGTTGGCTTGTTGTGAATTCGAGAACATCGATCTCCATGACGACATGCTCCAATTTTAAAATAAAAAGAGCAATTAACCCTAAGGAATAGATAATTATTATTTGAGGTTACGTTTATAATGCCAGAAATTTCCGAAAAAATAATGTCGTATTATGACCAAAATCACAACTGCGCAATTGATATACTAACTTGTCTTTTTCTGTACCAAAAATTGAAGCAAGATATTCTGCCATTGTTTTTCTGTTAACACACTCTTGAATGCGTTTTTTTTTAATTACAAACAAATAAAACTGTTAATATTCGCACACTGATGCTAATCATAAACATTTCTACGACGCCATGAGGGCAACTAATTGTGGCGCCGCCTGTCGGGGGTTTTTGAAAACTACATACAATTTACCACCAGATGGCAAGTTAAATTTTAACAAGTACTGCCATTTTTAAACTTCAAATCGGTAACTCCAAAAGAGTTTTCTTTTTCTATCATATACAGTACAATTTGCAATAAAGTTAAAATTAAATTAAAATAGAATTAAGATTTTATCTAGACTGATGAATATCATTAAATTATCCAGATAATAAAATCTCTGATAATAAATATATATAATATTCAAATAAATTACTTATCACAATTGAAATGGCATATTTGTTAATCCAGTAAACTGATTAAATTTTAATGTATTGTCATTGTAATGAAATAAAAAAACTATAAAATGAGTCATCATTTAATAAAATCTGTATGATAATTTCAAAGCTCCTTCTTCATAGTCATATCAGAGAAGAGAGACCTGTAAATATCTCTCCTCTTTATCAAAGTGCAATTGGCAAATTGTATTCAACTTGAGAGGGGAAAAATGCATAAAGGGAACTGAATCATAATTTTGCTGTTGTAATTTTATCAATTACACTAGGGTAGTCAGTTTATGACTCATTGAATCGATTTTGTACTTGCATTTACAAGTGGCTTATGCACTGAAAAGATTCAACGATAAGTAATAATATTAATCGGAAAGCTAACAAAATAAAATTCTTTTCAAAATAAAATACGTCCATGTTAAACTAAAATTTTAATATAATCATTAATTCTCTTATTCAATAAATTTTTATAAGACCCATTTCATTTGTTTATTTCTGATTATATATTGTTTAGTTTTTGATATAAAAAAAGTCCTTTTGACTTTAGTGATAAAAAACTATTTGATAAAATTTTATCATCCAGTGAAGCTGAGTAATAAAATATGAATCTTACTGAGAATAACTTTATCATATTTTTTTCCTTCCACTCGGATGACATCATATGTGGTGTAGAAAAAAAAATAAAGCTGTGAAGTAAAAAGGAAAAAGAAATTAAATCAACGTTTGACAAGTCATTATTCGCACAAAAATAATTAACTTCTCATGAACATCTATTTGTAAATAAAAGTCGAGATATGAATTAAAGACAATTGTGAGCAATCAATATATGCTGATGTAATAAATCAAAAGTGTATCAACATCTACCCTGGTAAAAATAATTCTACATCATTTACTGATTTCGCATAACTTTATCCTATCTTCTCTGTGTTTAAATTTCAACATTTTTTACAATTAAGTACATGGATTGAGGCAGTACTGGGTAGTATTTCCTTGATAAAATCCGTGATGTAGTCCTGATTCTACAACTTCAGTCAGCGCAGTTTAATGTATACATGTATTCGTTTAATTAATTAATAATTAAATTCATATTCAATTCAACCTTTCTACGAGTTCCCGCTCCTTGAGTCAGACGCTTTAGCGTCTCCTAGTGACCAATCGACGAAACCCACCCCAGAATATAACAATGCATTCAATTTTCTAAGAGTTCAACTATTCGGATTTTCATTGATGAACAAGAGGACTCTCCAAGAGAACAGCTGCATCGACACTGCAGTTTTCCTGGGACCTCCTGCTGTCTTATCTCATCAATAATAATTTTTTTCTGACACCACTAAATTTGACTAGAAAACTATTATATATATTATTCAAATTTTGAATGATGACTTTGTTGCTTGACACTCTTTAACTATCTAAATTTAAGGTAAACAACTCTGTATCTTGAAGTAATAAACAAACAGAGAAGATAAGTTAATGGAATGATGTAGGAAAATCAGAAGTTAAATTTATAAAGAAAGAAAATGAGAATATCGTTTACTAGTAAATGTGGGAAAGAAGTATATAATAATAACCAGAAGAGAAACAATAAAATTCTCAAGTGCTATTCATCATAATAGTAAATATCTGCAATCATAAAATTAAAATTTGCAAACCCGTTTTTTTTTACATATGTTTTAATTTGCTTCTGGATAGATATGGAATAGTTAGCTTCTTAAAAAAATTTTAGTCATCATGAATTGATTAATTATGTCAAAAAATATGCATGGGTGGAAGAGAAGAATTTAACATGCAAAAAGTAATGTTAAATTCTGGAAAAAAACATTAATTGGGAGATGAATATTCACCTGCACTCTGGTATATTAAAAATAGCATATTGATCGAATTTTACTCATTGTGGGAGTAGTACATGTGTACCAAAAACAGAGAGGTAAAACAGCTGTTTCTGAAGAAGAGGCGCAAGCGCTCCCGTGGGCCGGGAAATTGCGAGCTGGGGAGGTTGACGTTCAAGCGCCAGCTGAATCTAACCTTAGTCCACGCGCGATCGTTGTCGTGTAAGCACGTTTGTTGTTGTTTATTATTTATCAACTGCACTAGTTAACTAAAGCATACGACTCTAAAACAAAACAATCGAAATAAATAAGTAAACAGTCGTAGAATAATATTCGATTGAAGTTTCATTGTTGTCAGAAGAAATTTCGAGTTATGATAAAATTGGTCCAGAATCGACGTCAGAGCAATTAAAATAAAGAAGAATTAGAGGTCAAGTGATAATCGATACAAAGGTCTCACGTGTCTGAAGGCCATACAGCAGCTAAAATCTCCAGACGCTGCGAATTCTGTGTCGACCTTGAGCTGAACCAAAAGTTTTGAAACGAAAATAAAAAGGAGAAAGGAACGAAAACAGAATTATGCCAGCAGACGCAGAGCTCAGTACAATTCTCAGTCGAAGACAGAAAATCAACGAGGATCTGGAAGAAGGCAAGGAAGTGAAGAAACAATACAGATTTGTCAATGTATACACTGAGTTTCATGAACTTTCCCGTCGAGAGATCAAACAGTATGAGCAGACTTTTAACAGGTAAATATCATTTATCTTTACCTTTTTATGGAAGAATGAAAAAGAGAAGCATTTACAGAGAACAAGTATCGATAACTTCCGTATAAATCAGGCATCGAAGCCACACCATATGCAGGTGCAGATTGTAGAAGGTTGTTGTCGATGGCTTTGTTTTTAAAGCCTACTCAGTCTTGAATTACAAGGATATTTTCTTCCATTCCTTTTGGTTATTCTTATTCTTAAGGATTATTATTATTCAAAATTTCTAGACACGTTTTACAAGAAATTCCTTCTCTCACTCTTTCTTCCCCCTTTTGAACCTTCATTTATTATTTATGAGAAATATTTTCACTAAAAAAAATCAGAAAATTATTTATCACAAATCTTTGTGGACATAATAATCAATTCTACTTTTTTTTATCAATTTACCTTCGAATAAACAATAATTAGATTTTTTTTGTTCGTGTATTTTTATTATGTATGAAACTTAAAAATTATTTATAGAGAAAAAATTTTTTTTTATATCCTCTAGTGTATTTGTAGTCAATCGATAATTGATATTTTTTTATTTAATTTATTTAAATAGAATAGTAAATGAGTACAATGAATCGCAAAAAAATCTCCATGAAAAATGAAAATCAATTTTAATGAAGAAAAATTTGTAATTCAAATTGAAAATAATTTTTTTTTTTTTTTTTTTTTTTTTCAAAGAATTACTAATTGTTATCATCAGAAACTTAACTCAAATAATTTCAATGTCTAAAATTTTAAAGGTTATTAGAAATACAAATAAGATTAGATATTAGATTACTAAATTATTTTCATAGTTATGAAAATGTATCATATGAATAAACAAAACTATTACATGTTATGTACTTTGTCATACGCAGTAGGTTGGAAAACACACGTGTTTGAATTCACAGATTATGAAGACATGTTCAAATATATAAAATATAAATTATCATCCTACTTTTTGATTTATCGATTGTAAATCGAAAGCGATTTCAATTGATCGCGCTAAGATAAAAAAACATGTCTCACAAGTTTTTACATATACTTTCTCTTAATTTATCATTAACATATGTAATATATGAATGATTTTTACAAAGTCATTCTTAATGAGTTTACATTATAAAATTGACTATAAAATTAAGTTGCTACTTAAGACTCTGCAATTAATAATTATGACAAATGGAAATATTCTTTAATGAATAAAAAATAAGTCTTAATATACTAATAAGTATGCATTGATATAATTCATAATAATATAAAAATAGTTACATTTTATTATTTATTAACGTTCTACAACGTATTCATAGTCATTCCAGTTTAGTTCCGGTTACGTGATGATTTATTTCTAGTATTTGCCAATGTTCCTAATTTATATTCAAACAATGAAGTTTGCTCTGATTTCAAACTCCACAGTCGTTTACATTGGGATGAATCATAGAAGCAAAAAATATTTATAATTTACTGTAAAAAAAAAAATGTTGTAAACGTACACTCCGTGTCGTCGTAAAGTTTTCTTTAAGAAAAAATCGATTGTAAAACTTTAAATTTTGAAATACATTTTTCATTACTCTTCCTCAATTTTAAAATTAATTGTAATAATTTGAATTAATTAATTAATTAATCTTAGAATAATTAAAAATCGTTTCTCAGTTCAATTTTAAAAATTACGTTTTAATCTATTGATTTATATGAATGCTGGTTTCTACAGGATTAAATTATTAAATGAGACCATCAGAAAGTTAATTAAGTTAATTTTTCGCTATAAAAAATCATGTCATTTTCTAAATATTGATAATATTGTCGTTAAGCTATTTAAAGATACAAATGATACGATCATAATTAATTCACGTACTTGTAAGATTGTAACGGTCTGATTCAGAGCCAATCAATTTCTGATATTATTTATTGATTAAATGTACTCTGTTTCTTGAGACAAATCTGTGCCATGTATAAAGCGTCAACTAAATCAGTGCAACTTGTAATGAAATATGAATAATGTCATAAAGGTGTATATTAAATTTCGTGGTGGGTCAACAACCTGCATTTCTATTTTTGAAATATACATGTAATTCTGATGACTCAGAGAAATTTCTATAATTAATCCTACAGTACATCTGATATTTTCATTAAAAAATAACCGAAAATTATTTAAAAATGACAACAGAAAAAATTTCATTAAAAATCCTGCAAAAAAATATTTTTTTCTTTGATCATTTTGTGTCCAATTGTTCAGGAAAAAATGTTGGAACTTCAAAGAAACAATTTAAATTGTAATATAGTCGTTGTAATAATAAAAATGACTGTCATAATAATTTTTTTTTCAATTACTGCAACCATATGATGATAAATATTTTTTTTACAATAAATAAATGAAAAAAAAACTCTAAATACTTGAAATGAGATAACAAAGCACGTGAAACGAACATCTCAAGTAGTCTTCCATATTTCTATGAAATATTGGCAGGAAACACCTGGACATCACGCGGTAAAAAATGCCTAAATGCAATACACCATGTTCACAAAGTGCGTCCCTGAGTTTACTTGACGCGCCCGCACCTTTTTTATTGCATTATTCGAGCTGACAGCGTATGCTATAAATTTTGAATATAAAATAATGTCCATTTACTCAATACAATAAAACATAGCACATTCAAACGAAAGTTAAAAGCATACATAAAAAATACTAATCCTAACAATAATAATTTATTTCTTGCTTAGTTTATTAGCATTAATAAACTACAATACAATGCTGTACTCTAAAATATAGCTCGTGCTTATAAAATATTTTAGCAATAATTTTTCAAAAAAATTCCTTTCAGTTTTTTTACACTGTCATAATATAATCTGTTTTATTTTTTAATAAATGCGCATAATAAAATATTAAAAATTTATTTTATGACTTTTTAAATCGCAACATATTCAACTATGACTCTCGGTAATATGACATATTTAAGACTCATAAATGCAGTATCGCCTTACTGGACCAAAGTACCATCACTCTGAACCTTCTTGACTCCAAATGCACATCATAATGTTGATACCTGTTGCTGTTAATAATCTGTCGTCAACGACGCCCACTTGACATGAAATCGTTCTACGCTTATAATTCTCACATTTATTCTTCTTTTCTTGACCATGAATTTTTTAAAATAAACACGACATTGTCTTTATATTAATATAAACACATTAACTTCATTCATAAATTCCCATTATTATAAGCTCTAACTCGTTTCCAAATATATCTTAATGATTCATTAAATTCATTGATTGGTATTATTCTAAAAAGTAAATAGTAATTACGAAAAAGTTCATAACGAACTAATTTTCCGGAAATTAATTATTTTTATACGAAGACAAGTGAACTACACCACTACAAATTTCTTATTAAGAAAAGTGTTTTCAAGAAAAACACTACAAAGTGCAATTTATTTTTTCTCGTGAAAATTGTTTCATTAATATCTTCCGGTAAATTTTGTTCTGACTAGGACAAAAACAACGTATATGTATACATACGTGAGTCATGACTCATGACACGTAATGTTGACCAGATCTGTGTTTTAACTTTGTAGCCCCTGACCTCGTCGGCTAATGAACCAGGCGCTTCCTGGTCCCATCTAATTGAAATGCTGCAATCAGGTCGTTCCCCTTGTTTGTCCTGATTTTTCAACATCATGACTACTTCCCCTTTTCAATCATCTATCATCATACAGCATACACGTTTAAACAATTGACCCGCATATATTATTAAATATGTGTTCACAAATATTTTCGTGTGACTAAGATATCAAAATTTAATATTCTAAGCATGAGATAATCCGTTATAGATGATCTAAAGTCATAGTACACGATTAGAATACTAATCATACCTAAATGACATCTGTCAAATCGTTTTAAATATTAAATATGAATATTAATAACCTCTTTTTTCTTAAACAACCATTTTTAAATAATTACAAATTATTTCCATTCATATTTTTTCACTGCATAATAATTATCGTTCAGATATACTTTTGGTCATAAAAATCATTCGATCTTTCGCTTTAAAGTCAACATTGTATTCTATTTTCCAGGAAAAATATACTCTTTCTCAACCAAACAAGTTCGAATTGTGTGTAACAAATTTCATTTTGGATATCTCAAAACAGAAATGAATCGTAAAATTCTAATTTTAGTTGAAAAGTATGAAAATAGTATGATATTTACCTCCACGATGAAATCTCCCCTGTGGAGTTTCAAAACTATTTACTACTTTTCCACCACCCCTTTCACGTCAAGTCATAATATGTAACACATGATCTAAATATAGTAACTCTAGCAACGTCTAACTGACTTATCTCATATAATCCATCAAATTATTCTGGCCAGTGGGCGATAATTAATCGATTTCAACTTATTACGTAATGAATTGCCTTGAATTTTTCTCCTAAATACATTTGGTAAATTAAAAATAGAAACAATAATGACAATCGGCGTTATAAAATTATTAGATGACAATACAATTTTTTTTTGTAACTTTCATTCACTTGCAAGAAGTCAAGAAATTGTTGATTCCACTTTCTATTCGTGAGTATTTAGTTGTCATACCACGTGTAAAAAATGCAAAGAAGACAAATGAAAGTATAAGAAATGGAAATTATATATTCTAATTGCTTCAATAAGCGTACAATCAGTTGGAAAATTCAATGTGAAAGGTTGAAGAAGAAATAGCATAGTCAGACTTACACATTAACTCCATTATAGGTAACGGTAAGTTGCGAAGTAAGATTGTGCAGCAGTTTGGTCGACAATTTTCCACCGACCACTTTTCTTTAACTGCGTAAAAGGAAATCAAGAAATGATGGAAGATAATTCATAAGTAATCAGAATAATAGATGATCAAAGAAGAAAAAAAAATCGAAACGATCATTCCAAATAATTTAGCATCGTTAGGCTGTATGATAAATTGTACATCATTTGGTTAAATTTCAGCTATCATCACGGCATCGTAAAATAATTGATTTATTCAGGAAAAAAGATAATTTATATTAACTACTGAAGAGGATACGTTCAATTATACAGTTTAATGAATATATACATGGTTGTGATTTCTATTAAATAGCTGTGATTAACAATTGTTTAATGACGGAAATAATGAAGAATTTCACTTTCTTCGGTGAAATTTTTTTTATAATTATCAGTAAAAGTTCATTAATCTTGATCAATAACGGATAAACAACCCAAAATTAAATACTATTATCCACGAATAATTAATTTTTGAGGAAGCATGAAATTTTTCTTGAATTATTTATAGAGAACTTGTTCCTTTATTGCAGTTCTATTATTAGTCATTTAAGGAGAAAGATTTTAAAGAGAAACTAAAGAACGAAAAAATTATTTGCCTATAAATATGATTTATAAACAATGTTAGCATTCAACCACAGTCATCATCAGTATTTAAAGTGATGATAGGTATAAAATAAAAAAATCCATAAATGTTGAAATCCTAACAATTTAAACTTTACTTCTTACTTTCAATTCTACCGCCAAAGTATTAAACGTCGTAGAGTTTACCTTGACCGAGTTTTGTAACCTGTGCATTGAATCTACAATCTTTGCACGAGATTCATTTCTCGCTGTAATGAATTCTTTCTATTTTCCAACATAATTACAGTAACACCATTTATTAATCAAATACACAATGTATATCAGTATTTACATGAACAAAAAGTTCAAAGGTTCAACACATCATCAACGATGTATTTACTCTTGCATTCTCGTTGTTTACATTACCTATTGATGGGTTCATAAAATGAGCATATCCGCAGTAACGTGGCATTAAATGTCTATTGAATAAGGATATGATTGTAAATTAATGAATATTTGCGGACGAATTTTTGGTTGAGTGTTACATTCCGTTATATTAAATTTCCTGCATATGCGTATAATGATAAGAAAAAGAAAATCAATGTAAGCAATGGTATTTCAAGACTTCCAAGGACTATCGATTTTCTTCTTGTGTTTGGTTGAAAAATGTGTCGAGACCTTTTATTCACATTTAAAGTCGTGTTTCCTATCTGCATTCATACAATAAATCTTTCTTCAATCATTCTCTTATCATTTGGAATTTAATCTATGGCTTTAACTTGATTAATGATATTCTGATAAATGATAGAGAAGTTGAGATTTTTGGAAACTCTATAAGTCTAAATAAGTAATAAATAACTAATGATTTGATAGTGGAGATAAAAACAATGTAATTATTATCCTTATTAACTCAGTAGAATTTCTAAAGTAAATATGTCAATTCAATCGTGGGTGTGAAAACCGGAAACGAAAGAAATCTAGCCTCTTTTAATAGTCAACATTGCCAGCTCCCACACGTACACAATAGTCAACTATCGACTTTTCTTGCTACTGCAGTTCTTATCGATCACCTTTATGTTCACATTAAAAACCGTTTACTTTTACTCATCTCACAATCAGTACGTAAACTTAGTAAAGAACTGAGTTTCAATAAAAAAAAAACAACGTCGAGTTAAAAAAATTGATTAAACTTTTATGCAGAAAACTAATAAAGTTGGAATGTATTTGTTTGCATATTGATTCTCATTTAATTACATTAATGGGAATTTAATTACTAATTGCTAACTATAATAAAACTGATGCTTTCATTCTAATGAAAAAAAATTATAATTCATAATGAAGAAAGTTATTTTTATAGTTTCAGTCAACTGAATGTATATCCATAACAAATAAATTTTTTTTTTGCAACATTTTTGCTACTCCAAAAATGAATGCAAAAATGTTTGAATAAATTCTAAATAATTTTTTTTCAGATAATAAAAATAATAAAAAATGTATCTGTATATACATATATACATTTTACTCCTAACGAAAGAATAAATTAGTATTTTAATTAATTAGCTATTCATAAAAAAGTGGTACAACAATCATGATTAAGATAGATAAAGATTAACGTAAATGAGATAACGAGATCTATTGTATTATACAACTATGAAAAGAGAGTAGGTTTATAATATAAGAAAGAGAATAGAACAAAGAAATACGATATAAACTGTCTTGAAACAGTATTTATGATATCGCTAAAAGTTCAACGTTGTAGAGAAGTATTATGACAATCGTAAAAATATAGTCTCACAACAAACGCATTTGAAATTATATGTTTCCGTCCTTTAATTAACCCCTGCAGCTAAATTATTTTTTAGTCGGTTGTTTATACTTTGAGACCCTTGTTAGGTTGATAATGAAAATGATATAAGAATAAAAAAAAGTTATAAACATATTCTGAAATTCATAAATCAACAAAATAGAAGTTGTTTGAAAATTCTTGCTGGTAGCAACTGGTTTTGTGTCCGACACGTAGGCAGAATATTAAACATTTCAGTATCTGGTGATTATCGTAGCGTGAGTTATCTGAATAGTACAATAATTTTGCGAAATGATTAGTGTCACACAGATGACAAATATCTGTAGAATGAAGTCTTTTTTTCAAATTCATCATGACTTTAGATATTTTTCTACAATTTATTTAATATTATAAAAATTTCTGCTTCAATTGATTCGATAGTATATAATAATTACTTGAGCTATAATTATTTCAAGTTTTTTTGCTGATCGGTAAGCTATAACTAAAGTTACACCAGTTTGTTATTCATAAATTAGCACTCTAGAATTTCCTAGTATTTATTTCAAATTAATTTAAATTTAAATCTTTTTGCTAATGTAACTTGAATACCTATGAGATATATTACATTTCTTATTATACAACTGATTGCAGCTGATATAATTTAAACTGTATCTTGTTTCTTTGTGACACAATTGAGACCTACATGCAACGTTTGTAATAAGAAAAGTGTTGAAAGCCTTACTCAATTTTCTAAAGAGACAGTTTGAGATAATTGAAGTGGTTTCCTTTTTTAATGTCATTTTTATTTCGAAACATTTATCACAAGTATGGAAAAATAAGTGACTTATATACAAACAATTTCTAACTTTTTTATGCGATATAATTTGCAATTAAAATATGATTTGTCTTCAAGCAACTTTATTTTTACGCTGTAAAATTATATAACTTTTTAAAGTAGTTTACATAATAAATTTTAGTTCACAACAAGAATTTAAAAAACGAGCGATAGTTTATTTTATTATTAATCTAAACTATTTTTAATTAAACTTAAAAACAAGTTTCTACTTTCAACCAGAGTAATGAATCTCCATGAATTATTTATCTCTAAAATCCCATTAATAAAATCAAAAGAAAAAGTATGCAATAAAAAAAATATATTGCTTCCATCATACTCTAATAACAATACTAAAACGATTCTCTGCTTTTGTTCCAGATTTGATGATGGTCGAGATGGGTTTTTAGATCTTTCGGAGCTTAAAAGGATGATGGAAGTCTTGGGAGCTCCTCAAACTCACTTAGGTTTAAAAGCCATGATTAAAGAAGTTGATGAAGACGATGACGGTCGTATTTCATTCCGCGAGGTCAGTATGCATATATATTGACTTCATCATCCCCCTATTATTTTAAAATCTTTTTTTTTAGTGAAAAAAAATTTATATACACGCATGTTGTTGGAACCCTATTCAGTTTATTAAATTTCATATTAAATTGCTTTTACAGTTCCTTTTGATCTACCGAAAAGCCCGGGCTGGTGAATTGGAACAAGATTCTGGGCTGGGACAATTGGCGAGATTAACAGAAGTAAATGTTGATGAGGTTGGAGTAACTGGAGCCAAAAATTTCTTCGAAGCAAAGGTAAAATTATATCAAATGGTTCTTTAAGTACATTGAATAGTTGATATTCAGTAGGGAGACGAATGTTCTAGAAAGAAATAAAAAACTTTTCTAACTCCAATTATTTTGAGTAAGGACCTAAAAAAAATTCTTATCTGATTCCATATTTTATTTTGTAGATTGAACAACTCAGAAAGTCAAGTAAATTTGAGGATGAAATTCGAATGGAGCAAGAAGAACGAAGGCGAGAAGAAGAAGAGAGAGCAGAAAGACGAGCACAATTTCGTCAAAAGGCTGCTATTTTTAATAATTAGTACAACTAAATATAATTTACTAACTTTAATTTATTGAACGTACGATCAACGAAAGATTTTAAACTTGATATTTGAATGATAACAAGTTTTAATAAGTAATGTGCTCGGAGAATTTTATTGGAAATTAGAGACTGAATGTCGATTTGAAAAAGTTTGTTTTGAAAAAAATAGTCTAAATTGATGTTAGATTTATTCAAAATTTATGCATTGTTAAATGAAGTTATTCTAGGCTTCTGAGATGAATTTAATCTTGTAAAACAAAGTTCGCATATGCATTCAGTTCGATTTTACATTTTAAGAATTTCAAGTATTAATTTTAATTTATTTTTGAATTTTATATAATAAAATTAAAAGAACAATCTATGCACTAAATAATATTACAGCAAGTCTGATGTATATCGAAGGATAATAGCTAAGATATAATTTAATTATTTTTAGTGATTGTTTTATTTTAATATGCATTTTACTTCAATATTTAATAAGATAAAATATCATCGAAATATATGATTTATTATTGTGATAAAAAATAAAATAAAAGAAAAAAAAAACAGAGAATGTTATAATGAATGTTTTGTGCTATAAATATTCTGTGCTAATAAAAAATAATAATTATAAATTATGAGTAATTTCTTGTAGTTATTAAAAAATCAGTGAGAAGTCAGTGTTAAGTTCATAAATAATATATAAATATACACAAGAAAAGTTAAATGCGAATAAAATGTAGTGTTGTCAGAGGACAGCGATGCAAACAAGATAAAATGAAATTTTGAGCCACTACCGTGTGTACATATTTAAAACTAATTGCAGCATATTAGAATTCCAAATTACTTACCATTTTTGATGAGCTTTTCAACATAATGCAAATCGGCTTCTAAAAAAGAATGACAAATTAATTTTTTTGAAATCTGGATGATCAATCTCTTCAAAATTATTTATTTTCATATTGATATATTCTGATTATATCGGACCTGGAATAAGGCTGACTTACTTTTGTAAGGTTCCTTCTGTTAATATTTGTTTTATTCTAATTCAAATTTGCGAATTCATAAAATTCGAACGAGTCTATTTTGCAAATCACAACTGAACACTCTTAGATCGGAATGGCGTAGAAGGAAGAGAACAGAAGTGTAGCGCCTCTATTGGCGAATTACTCACTGGGTAAAGAGAACTTTTTGTTATCGACATAAGTTAAAAACGCTAGCGTTATCATTATAATTATTTTTTCTTGGAGCTTCATAAAATGTATCAAAAATTTTTTTACTGATAATAATAACAACAATAATAATATTTATTTATTCTACTTAGAAAGGTGATATTTTTATAAAAGACTATTGTCCGTCTGAAGTGTTCATTTTTATCAATCAAATATTTTACCTCGAGAAACGACTCCGTAGTTTACTGATATTACATTAGAAAAGTCTTGGCTTTATTTGAGTCGTAATGAAATGGTATATTTCTTGGTTACTTCAGAGTTAATCGATTGATTTCTCATCATTATAGATGACAGATGATTAAAGAGAAGTTCATTTTTCAATGCTTTGTGATCAGTACTTTTTTTTATCATTAGTAATTTTCATTAAGTGTCAACCATTACTTAATTATAATAATTATGGCAACGCAAAATGCATTCAGTGTTGTCGAGTTTTATTTTAATGAGGATTCAAGTGAACACAAATGCGGTTACTGCAAAAAACGCAATGCTTATAAGCGTCATGGTGAGATGTTCATAATTATTTCTTCCAATATGTCAGTATAATATAATCTACTAGTATGACAATGTCATAAAATTATATAATTTTTTGTAGGATTGTGGGCACACCGATTGACTGTACGGGATTACCAAAATTTAATTGATAGAGGCTGGCGAAGAAGTGGGTGTTATTGTTATAAACCAACAAATGATCAGACATGCTGTCCACTGTATACAATAAAGTAAGGCCTTCACTCATGTAGTTTTTTCGTCTTTTATTTTTTTAAATGAACTTCTGAATTAAGCTACATGAATTCAAGAGATGTGTTTAATTTTTAAATGATGAAAATATTATTTCTATACTTTATTTAGTTGACCTTAACCTTCCAGATGTGAAGCCTTGGATTTTATGCTCTCAAAATCGCAGAAAAAAATTATAAAACGAGTTGCTAAATTTATCAAAGAAGGAAAAAAGGAAGAAGCTTATGACAAGAAAACACATAAACGAACGAAAATTCATCACGATTCTCTGAATGACATTGGTAATTAAAGATATTCTCGAACTTATCATTTATCAAGTTTGAATAATATTAATGCACCTATACGATTCTGTTTACCATGAACTTTCTTTGTTAATTATATGCAAATTAATTGTTAATTGTATTTATAATCTAGTGGAACCAGATTATTCCGAGCATATGGCTAGAGCTCATGCAAATTTATCGGAAAACGAAATTATGATGCGAGAAACAGAATGTGATAAAAAATTATCCTCAAGTCCTCAGGACAAAATACAATCAGAGTCTGAGGATATTATAGAAAATACTCCAGCTCAACCAATGATACAAGATATCGAATCTCTTAGCAATGAATCAAAAAAATCTTTAACTCAAAATAAGCCATCAAATACCTCAACCATGTCTGTCTCAGATAGTGATTTACCTAAAAAAGCTAAGCTTATGAGGATTGAACGTGCACGAAATAGACTATTAGCCAAAGGAAAGACGATAGAAGAAATTGAGCTCATTTACAAGAAAAAAAAAGAGAAAAATAAACCAAAAAGCCTTGATGAATTACTTAATAGTTTGACTGACGGAGTGAATAAATTAGAGGTAATATGGATAAAAATTCTACTTAAATTTTAAAAAAACTTCAATTACATATAAAACAGATACATTCGAAATTGATTTACTAATAAATAATCAATATTATATAACATTTCTTCTAGTTAGTTTAAGCTTTGTGAATGCACTTCTATTAAAATAATTAAAAAAAACATATTTATGTGACTTTTACAGCTGAAATTAGTACCAGTATCATCAGAAGAATTTATGGCAACAGTAGATGAGAGTGCGGAATTATTCAAAAAATACCAAATTGCTGTGCATAATGATGATCCATTTGATTGTGATAAAAAATCTTTTTTAAATTTTTTGGGTAAAAGTCCTCTTCATGTAAGTTTCTTTTGATAGTAAGTTCTAAATGTAGTTAGAATTAAGGTCTTTTATAAATTTCATTACTTTTTTAAAGCACTGGAAGCCAGAATCCGGACCACCACTAGGATATGGGTCTTTTCATCAACAATACAGGCTAAATAACAAATTGATGGCTGTTGGAGTTATAGATATACTGCCATATTGTGTATCAAGTGTTTATTTTTTTTATGATCCAGTATATTCTTTTCTTTCACTCGGTACATACAGGTACTTTGTCTAATTAATACGCTTTTGATTATTCTAATTGTTAGATTTTCTGTTGGTGATTAAATAATTCTCAAAGATTTGCAATTAATTATTCATTAAGATTAAGTGATTAAATGCATAATTCTGTTGATGAAAAAAATTGCAGTTCTCTAATGGAAGTACGTTTAGTCAGAGAATTAAATAAAACAGTACCAGACTTAAAATACTATTATATGGGTTATTATATCCATTCAATTCCAAAAATGAGGTACAAAGCAAAAATGAGGCCTTCAAAGTTACTCTGCCCTGAAACTTATAAATGGTTTGACATAGAACGTTGCTTGCCCAAATTAAATGAAAATGAATACTCAAGACTTAATGAAGATATAGATGCTATTGACGAAGATGGAGTTATTGGTTTTGAAACATTGTTGAAGGTGATGATTTCAAAGAATCTTGTTAAAAGTAAAAAAAAAAAAAATAATTTTATTTACTAAATTAATTTTTTAAAAAATTTCTTTAAATCCAGGTTCCAGTGTATTACCGTGGTAGAATGTTATATCAGAATGTACGAGAGATTCGTCGTAAGTTCGATGATAAAAAGGATGACATTAATGAAGTAAAAGAGTATGCAGAAGTTGTAGGTAAAAAATGTGCCCTTAATATGTATTTAGTACGAACCTGAAAAGTACTCAATTATAATACTAATGGTCACTAGTTAAATAAATATAAAATGTTAAACAAGTAATCCAATATCATAAATCTCTAAAGTAATTTGAATTATAAAACTGATAAACATCACGTCCTTCATCATACACCGTCAGTTTTTATTCCAGATTGTGTATTATTATCCGGTAATTGTATAACCATAATTTACTTGTTATATAAGAAAACAACTATTGTTGTTCTTCCCGGTATTAATTTTGAATCAGTGTATGTTCGACACATAAAAGATGTAAAAAGGATCCATTGCTGGCTATTAAAAAATTCTAGATCTATTTTCTTATGATAAAATAACAATTTTTTATTACTCCAAAGCAATATTCCTGCTAATATCTATACAATAATTGTCTTAAATTATATCTTATAATATCACATAGAATTAAATCATTACAAAATTATAAATAATCATTTTCGTCACGCTTCTGACATTCTGATACTTGGTCCACTTTCATCGGATTTTTTGTTTGTCTTTTTATTATTGTCTCTTCTTTCCTCTCTTGGCTCTATTTCATTCCAACTTTGCACTTCTCCACTTCCACCAATGACGAAAATTACCATACAAGATATGCAAACTGATGCACCCATCCAGAAAAGTATTCTCCATCGTTCAATTGAATGCTAAGTGAGATCGTGATAGTTAATTTTTTAATAATAATTATTGCATGAACAGTATACTAGCAATACAATAATGATAGTTAATATAATGTTCGCAATAATTAATCATTTGTAAATGATATGTAATGGATAATTAATGAATTAATTCATAATTAAGCACTAGAAGCTAAAAATTTTTGTTAAGACATTATATCGTTCAAAATAAATGTCATCGTTAAGCAAATTACGAAAAATTTTGTCCAAGTGATCTGTACTCGTATCACGATAATATTCAATAGATAAAAATATCTTAAACGACTATGATGGAAGCTGCTTAAGCATGATTTGAAGATTGTAAGGTAGCACTGATGTTGATGATAAGATGCATATGACACATGTGCAGTTGAATAGATATGTATCGTACTATAATTATATGACATATAGTATGCGACACGGATCCACAGGACGGCAACACAAATATGAACGCTATACCAATTAGAAACATCCTGTGTTCATGAAAAAAAAAAAGATGTGAATTTAATAGAGTTAAAAATATATCGTGAGTAGAAATTAGTAAGCTATTTTTCAGAAGTTAATTAGTAATAAATTTACTTTTATGAGAAACAAAATGATTAAGACAGCATATGTCTGTCAACCCACAATAACACAATACAGTCCAATCTGTAAGAAGAGTAAGCAGTAATAGTGTGCGAGATAGAGATTCAGATGAAATGATGAATGATTACAAAATTTAAAGAGCAAGAAGGATTTGAAATCATGGTAAAATGCAGTTGAAGAAGAGAAGTCATTCTAATGATCTTACCCCCCATTTTCCAGCGACTTCTTCAACAATAGGTCCAATAATAATACCAGAGAGTCCACCGAAAGTATTCATCAAACCATAGAGGAAACCAGCATAATTTGGGGACAAGTCTTGATTATTTGATAAATTAGAAACTGAAGCTGCTCCATTAAATCCAAGAGCCAAAATTAGGAATACATTGGCTAGTGTAAATGAACATCCAAGATAACCAACAATAATGAGGCATAAACCAGGCAATAAATGTGCTGTAAAGTCAAATTCACAAATTACTAATTTCATATTTCATACTTACAAATATTTTAGCCAGGTTTATATATAACTTTTTTTTAAATTTACAAAATATCGTGGCGATTTTTCGTAGCTTGGTAATAGATAATAGATTTTTCCTTTTGATTGTATCACCAGCCCAACCAAAAATGAATGCGAATAATACTCGGTTGGCCCATGGTAAACCAGAAACAATTCCTCCTTTGGTTAACTTGAAGCCTAAAGCTTTTGTTTGATATAGCATCATGCCATTTTGATAAAAAAATAACAGAAATAAATTTCCAAAGTGGCAAAGTGCCAAACAAATAAAAGGTAATGATGATAAGATCTTTAAAATCGGTGTGTCTTTCAATGTCGGTTTTGAGACATTAACGATACCAGCTTGAGATCTAGAAGACAAACGTGATGAATTAAATCATCCATCAGTAAGCTTAAAAAATTTTCAAAGTTTAACTTACTCGATGATGTACTTTTTCTCTTCCTCATTAATTCCAGGATGTTCTTCAGGAGAATCGAAGGCGAACAACCACCAGAAGATAACCCAGATGAGCATGGAGACGGCAGGAATATACCAAGCAGATTCCCAATTAATTTTCTCCGCGATGCTAGAAATAATTCCAAATAGGAAAATGGATCCAAATGTTCCACCTTGCAGAGTCCAGATAAATCTTCCTTTTTCATTAGGAGGCGACCATTTAGCAACTAAGTTATGACATGCTGGAAAAGTTACACCACCAGTCAAGCCAATGATCACTCTTGAGAAAAGCAAGGCAATCCAGGATGTTTGTGCAAGTATTGGAGTGATCAACGATACTAACGCAGCCAGAATCGAAGACCAGAGAATTGCTTGACGAGGTCCATATTTTTGTGCCAAAACACCACCGATGAAATTACCAGGAACATTACCCCAAGCGTAGGCAGAAATTAATTGACCTCTGATGAATGGAGACCAATTAAAAGGTTGATTTGAAAATAAATAAATTCCTGGAGGACGAGTATCTCTACGAACTTCAGGTATGACGGATCTAAAGATCAGGTTCGATTGATTGATATTTTCAAGTGGTAAATCACCTTCTAAAGTTTTGTTTGATGGTGATTGAGTCACATCTTCTTCTGGCTCTGAATACAATGATCGTTTATTTCTATCTACAATTGTACAAACGCCTGATAAATTTGATCTATCTTCTGCAGTTTTTATCATAGGTACCACAAGTACACTCATCTGAAGACGACACATATAGCTCGTCCAGCAGGCCGTAAACATCATGATGCAGATAATTACTCGTGTTGGAAGACACTCTGTAATAAGATCAACGAAATATCTTAATAAGCTGTTTACAAAAATTTGTTGCAAAAAAAAAAATGGCAATAGTGTAATTTTATTGTCGTCGTAGTCGTGCTTCGGACCAAAAATTGACTGCAAAACAAATTTAGTAAAAGATTCTGAGCTTACGAAAAAATTTATACGAATTGCTTATATTTATATTCATGGAATCCATTGAATAATTAATAATATTGACTCGTCCAAAGAATAAAACGCAAATTCAAATTGTTTAATATAAACAAGTCTGTGAAAATTGCCATGCCAACAAGAAAATACTCAGATTTTGAAATACAAGTGATAAATAAAAATATCGAAAAACAGTGACCAAGAAATTACTTGTTTTTACTGCTCTAAAAGAAACGCAAAGGATTTTAAATAAACCTGTATTCAATTGATATCAGAAATCGCAAATACGCGCATTTAGGGTAAAACTTGTCTTGTAACATTATGAGATGAATTATAAGCAAGCTCCATGCCAAGATAAAACCCGTACTATAATGACAACATAGACTACTATGATAACATAGTCCGAGCCTATACTAAGCGTGGAATTGTGATTGCTTGCATGAATTATTAGATGAGCATTGATGTTTCGATGGCATGTTATGCGATGGATGATTAGCAACTTTCATACCGGTTTTGAGGAAGTACTATGATGAATATTTATTACATAGTCCATGCCTAAAACCGGTATTGTAGTTGCTAGCGTGAATTGTTAGATAAGCATGGATATTTTTATGACATGTTATGCGATGGATGATTAGCAACCTTCATACCGATTTGAGGTAGTACTATGTTAAATATCTATTACATAGTCCATACCTAAAACCGGTATTGTAGTTGCTAGCGTAAATTGTTAGATAAGCATGGATATTTCTATGACATGTTATGCGATGAAAATTAGCAAACACCACTTCACGTTAAGCTCGTACTGTGATAAATATCTATAACATAGTCCGAGCCTAAGCATGGAATTGTGATTGCTTGCATGAATTCTTAGATGAGCATTGATGTTTCGATGGCATGTTATGCGATGGATGATTAGCAACCTTCATACCGCTTAAAGGGTGTACTATGATAAATATCTATTACATAGTCCACGCCTAAAACCGGTATTGTAGTTGCTAGCGTGAATTGTTAGATGAGCATGGATATTTCTATGACATGTTATGCGATAAAAATTAGCAAACACCACTTCACGTTAAGCCCGTACTGTGATAAATATCTATAACATAGTCCGAGCCTAAGCGTGGAATTGTGATTGCTTGCATGAATTATTAGATGAGCATTGATGTTTTGATAGCAGGTTATGCGATGGATGATTAGCAACCTTCATACCGGTTTTGAGGACGTACTATGATAAATATTTATTACATAGTCCATGCCTAAAACCGGTATTGTAGTTGCTAGCGTGAATAGTTAGATGAGCATGGATATTTCTATGACATGTTATGCGATGAAAATTAGCAAACACCACTTCACGTTAAGCTCGTACTGTGATAAATATCTATAACATAGTCCGAGCCTAAGCATGGAATTGTGATTGCTTGCATGAATTATTAGATAAGAATTGATGTTTTGATGGCATGTTATGCGATGGATGATTAGCAACCTTCATACCGCTTAAAGGGTGTACTATGATAAATATCTATTACATAGTCCACGCCTAAAACCGGTATTGTAGTTGTTAGCGTGAATTGTTAGCCAAGCATGGATATCTCTATGACATGTTATGCGATGAAGATCAGCAAACACCATGACATGCGAGGGCTTGTACTATGATGAATATTTATTACATAGTCCGAGCCCAAGCGTGGAATTGTGATTGCTAGCGTAAATTGTTAGATGAGCATTAATATCTTTATGTTATGTTATGCGATGGATGATTAGCAACCTTCATACCGCTTTGAGGTAGTACTATGATAAAGATCTATTACATAGTCCATACCTGAAACCGGTATAGTAGTTGCTAGCGTGAATTGTTAGATGAGCATTGATGTTTTGATGGCATGTTATGCGATGGATGATTAGCAACCTTCATACCGGTTTTGAGGACGTACTATGATAAATATTTATTACATAGTCCATGCCTAAAACCGGTATTGTAGTTGCTAGCGTGAATTGTTAGATGAGCATGGATATTTCTATGACATGTTATGCGATGAAAATTAGCAAACCCCACTTCACGTTAAGCTCGTACTGTGATAAATATCTATAACATAGTCCGAGCCTAAGCATGGAATTGTGATTGCTTGCATGAATTATTAGATGAGCATTGATGTTTTGATGGCATGTTATGCGATGGATGATTAGCAACCTTCATACCGGTTTTGAGGACGTACTATGATAAATATTTATTACATAGTCCATGCCTAAAACCGGTATTGTAGTTGCTAGCGTGAATTGTTAGATGAGCATGGATATTTCTATGACATGTTATGCGATGAAAATTAGCAAACCCCACTTCACGTTAAGCTCGTACTGTGATAAATATCTATAACATAGTCCGAGCCTAAGCATGGAATTGTGATTGCTTGCATGAATTATTAGATGAGCATTGATGTTTTGATGGCAGGTTATGCGATGGATGATTAGCAACCTTCATACCGCTTAAAGGGTGTACTATGATAAATATCTATTACATAGTCCACGCCTAAAACCGGTATTGTAGTTGCTAGCGTGAATTGTTAGATGAGCATGGATATTTCTATGACATGTTATGCGATGAAAATTAGCAAACCCCACTTCACGTTAAGCTCGTACTGTGATAAATATCTATAACATAGTCCGAGCCTAAGCATGGAATTGTGATTGCTTGCATGAATTATTAGATGAGCATTGATGTTTTGATGGCATGTTATGCGATGGATGATTAGCAACCTTCATACCGGTTTTGAGGACGTACTATGATAAATATTTATTACATAGTCCATGCCTAAAACCGGTATTGTAGTTGCTAGCGTGAATTGTTAGATGAGCATGGATATTTCTATGACATGTTATGCGATGAAAATTAGCAAACCCCACTTCACGTTAAGCTCGTACTGTGATAAATATCTATAACATAGTCCGAGCCTAAGCATGGAATTGTGATTGCTTGCATGAATTATTAGATGAGCATTGATGTTTTGATGGCAGGTTATGCGATGGATGATTAGCAACCTTCATACCGCTTAAAGGGTGTACTATGATAAATATCTATTACATAGTCCACGCCTAAAACCGGTATTGTAGTTGCTAGCGTGAATTGTTAGATGAGCATGGATATTTCTATGACATGTTATGCGATAAAAATTAGCAAACACCACTTCACGTTAAGCCCGTACTGTGATAAATATCTATAACATAGTCCGAGCCTAAGCGTGGAATTGTGATTGCTTGCATGAATTATTAGATAAGAATTGATGTTTTGATGGCATGTTATGCGATGGATGATTAGCAACCTTCATACCGCTTAAAGGGTGTACTATGATAAATATCTATTACATAGTCCACGCCTAAAACCGGTATTGTAGTTGTTAGCGTGAATTGTTAGCCAAGCATGGATATCTCTATGACATGTTATGCGATGAAGATCAGCAAACACCATGACATGCGAGGGCTTGTACTATGATAAATATTTATTACATAGTCCATGCCTAAAACCGGTATTGTAGTTGCTAGCGTGAATTGTTAGATGAGCATGGATATCTTTATGTCATGTTATGCGATGGATGATTAGCAACCTTCATACCGATTTGAGGTAGTACTATGTTAAATATCTATTACATAGTCCATACCTAAAACCGGTATTGTAGTTGCTAGCGTAAATTGTTAGATAAGCATGGATATTTCTATGACGTGTTATGCGATGAAAATTAGCAAACACCACTTCACGTTAAGCTCGTACTGTGATAAATATCTATAACATAGTCCGAGCCTAAGCATGGAATTGTGATTGCTTGCATGAATTATTAGATAAGAATTGATGTTTTGATGGCATGTTATGCGATGGATGATTAGCAACCTTCATACCGCTTAAAGGGTGTACTATGATAAATATCTATTACATAGTCCACGCCTAAAACCGGTATTGTAGTTGCTAGCGTGAATTGTTAGATGAGCATGGATATTTCTATGACATGTTATGCGATGAAAATTAGCAAACCCCACTTCACGTTAAGCTCGTACTGTGATAAATATCTATAACATAGTCCGAGCCTAAGCATGGAATTGTGATTGCTTGCATGAATTATTAGATGAGCATTGATGTTTTGATGGCATGTTATGCGATGGATGATTAGCAACCTTCATACCGGTTTTGAGGACGTACTATGATAAATATTTATTACATAGTCCATGCCTAAAACCGGTATTGTAGTTGCTAGCGTGAATTGTTAGATGAGCATGGATATTTCTATGACATGTTATGCGATGAAAATTAGCAAACCCCACTTCACGTTAAGCTCGTACTGTGATAAATATCTATAACATAGTCCGAGCCTAAGCATGGAATTGTGATTGCTTGCATGAATTATTAGATGAGCATTGATGTTTTGATGGCAGGTTATGCGATGGATGATTAGCAACCTTCATACCGCTTAAAGGGTGTACTATGATAAATATCTATTACATAGTCCACGCCTAAAACCGGTATTGTAGTTGCTAGCGTGAATTGTTAGATGAGCATGGATATTTCTATGACATGTTATGCGATAAAAATTAGCAAACACCACTTCACGTTAAGCCCGTACTGTGATAAATATCTATAACATAGTCCGAGCCTAAGCGTGGAATTGTGATTGCTTGCATGAATTATTAGATAAGAATTGATGTTTTGATGGCATGTTATGCGATGGATGATTAGCAACCTTCATACCGCTTAAAGGGTGTACTATGATAAATATCTATTACATAGTCCACGCCTAAAACCGGTATTGTAGTTGTTAGCGTGAATTGTTAGCCAAGCATGGATATCTCTATGACATGTTATGCGATGAAGATCAGCAAACACCATGACATGCGAGGGCTTGTACTATGATGAATATTTATTACATAGTCCGAGCCCAAGCGTGGAATTGTGATTGCTAGCGTAAATTGTTAGATGAGCATTAATATCTTTATGTTATGTTATGCGATGGATGATTAGCAACCTTCATACCGCTTAAAGGGTGTACTATGATGAATATCTATTACATAGTCCACGCCTAAAACCGGTATTGTAGTTGTTAGCGTGAATTGTTAGATGAGCATGGATATCTTTATGTCATGTTATGCGATGGATGATTAGCAACCTTCATACCGGTTCTGAGGACGTACTATGATAAATATTTATTACATAGTCCATGCCTAAAACCGGTATTGGGGTTGCTAGCGTGAATTGTTAGATGAGCATGGATATTTCTATGACATGTTATGCGATGAAAATTAGCAAACACCACTTCACGTTAAGCTCGTACTGTGATAAATATCTATAACATAGTCCGAGACTAAGCGTGGAATTGTGATTGCTTGCATGAATTATTAGATGAGCATTGATGTTTTGATGGTAGGTTATGCGATGGATGATTAGCAACCTTCATACCGGTTTTGAGGACGTACTATGATAAATATTTATTACATAGTCCATGCCTAAAACCGGTATTGTAGTTGCTAGCGTGAATTGTTAGATAAGCATGGATGTTTTTATGACATGTTATGCGATGGATGATTAGCAACCTTCATACCGCTTAAAGGGTGTACTATGATAAATATCTATTACATAGTCCACGCCTAAAACCGGTATTGTAGTTGCTAGCGTGAATTGTTAGATGAGCATTGATGTTTTGATGGCATGTTATGCGATGGATGATTAGCAACCTTCATACCGGTTTTGAGGACGTACTATGATAAATATTTATTCCATAGTCCATACCTAAAACCGGTATTGTAGTTGCTAGCGTGAATTGTTAGATGAGCATGGATATCTTTATGTCATGTTATGCGATGGATGATTAGCAACCTTCATACCGCTTAAAGGGTGTACTATGATAAATATCTATTACATAGTCCACGCCTAAAACCGGTATTGTAGTTGTTAGCGTGAATTGTTAGCCAAGCATGGATATCTCTATGACATGTTATGCGATGAAGATCAGCAAACACCATGACATGCGAGGGCTTGTACTATGATAAATATTTATTACATAGTCCATGCCTAAAACCGGTATTGTAGTTGCTAGCGTGAATTGTTAGATGAGCATGGATATCTTTATGTCATGTTATGCGATGGATGATTAGCAACCTTCATACCGATTTGAGGTAGTACTATGTTAAATATCTATTACATAGTCCATACCTAAAACCGGTATTGTAGTTGCTAGCGTAAATTGTTAGATAAGCATGGATATTTCTATGACGTGTTATGCGATGAAAATTAGCAAACACCACTTCACGTTAAGCTCGTACTGTGATAAATATCTATAACATAGTCCGAGCCTAAGCATGGAATTGTGATTGCTTGCATGAATTATTAGATAAGAATTGATGTTTTGATGGCATGTTATGCGATGGATGATTAGCAACCTTCATACCGGTTTTGAGGACGTACTATGATAAATATTTATTACATAGTCCATACCTAAAACCGGTATTGTAGTTGCTAGCGTGAATTGTTAGCCAAGCATGGATATCTCTATAACATGTTATGCGATGGATGATTAGCAACCTTCATACCGCTTAAAGGGTGTACTATGATAAATATCTATTACATAGTCCACGCCTAAAACCGGTATTGTAGTTGCTAGCGTGAATTGTTAGATGAGCATGGATATTTCTATGACATGTTATGCGATGAAAATTAGCAAACACCACTTCACGTTAAGCCCGTACTGTGATAAATATCTATAACATAGTCCGAGCCTAAGCGTGGAATTGTGATTGCTTGCATGAATTATTAGATGAGCATTGATGTTTTGATGGTAGGTTATGCGATGGATGATTAGCAACCTTCATACCGCTTAAAGGGTGTACTATGATGAATATCTATTACATAGTCCACGCCTAAAACCGGTATTGTAGTTGCTAGCGTGAATTGTTAGATGAGCATGGATATTTCTATGACATGTTATGCGATGAAAATTAGCAAACACCACTTCACGTTAAGCCCGTACTGTGATAAATATCTATAACATAGTCCGAGCCTAAGCGTGGAATTGTGATTGCTTGCATGAATTATTAGATGAGCATTGATGTTTTGATGGTAGGTTATGCGATGGATGATTAGCAACCTTCATACCGCTTAAAGGGTGTACTATGATGAATATCTATTACATAGTCCACGCCTAAAACCGGTATTGTAGTTGTTAGCGTGAATTGTTAGATGAGCATCAATATCTTTATGTCATGTTATGCGATGGATGATTAGCAACCTTCATACCGCTTAAAGGGTGTACTATGATAAATATCTATTACATAGTCCACGCCTTAAACCGGTATTGTAGTTGCTAGCGTAAATTGTTAGATAAGCATGGATATTTTTATGACATGTTATGCGATGAAAATTAGCAAACACCACTTCACGTTAAGCTCGTACTGTGATAAATATCTATAACATAGTCCGAGCCTAAGCGTGGAATTGTGATTGCTTGCATGAATTATTAGATGAGCATTGATGTTTCGATGGCATGTTATGCGATGGATGATTAGCAACCTTCATACCGCTTTGAGGTAGTACTATGATAAAGATCTATTACATAGTCCATACCTAAAACCGGTATTGTAGCTGCTAGCGTAAATTGTTAGATGAGCATTGATATCTTTATGTCATGTTATGCGATGGATGATTAGCAACCTTCATACCGCTTTGAGGTAGTACTATGTTAAATATCTATTACATAGTCCATACCTAAAACCGGTATTGTAGTTGCTAGCGTGAGTTGTTAGCCAAGCATGAATATCTTGATAACATGTTATGCGGTGAAGATCAGCAAACACCATGACATGCAAGGGCTTGTACTATGATGAATATCTATTACATAGTCCGAGCCCAAGCGTGGAATTGTGATTGCTTGCATGAATTATTAGATGAGCATCGACATCTCGATGACGTGTTAGGCGATGGAGTTGTTATGCTACTATGTTATGTTATGAAATGAATAATTACCAAACATCATGAGAGACTAAAGGGCGTGCTATGGTAAATATCGATGACATAGTTCGAGCCTGAGCTTGGAATTGTAATTACTAGCATGGATGATGTAATGAGCTGAAAAAATGATCCAGATGTTACAACGAATCTTATAGTAATATACATGACAATTTAATTAGGTGTTTGTGTCAACTTGTTGTAAAAAGAATATTAGTATTCAATATTGCTTCGTCATTGTCATTGTTTTTCTATATATTGCTGTGGAAATCATTAAGCAAAAATTCATAGCACATGACCAAATTTTTATTATCTGTGTATGTTTATATTTGCATGTTCCATTGACTTATCCACAATTATTTATTATCTGCTTATGAAAGTTTCAAGCGGTTGATTGGAGTATAAACAATGTCGGGTGAATTGTCATATAAACTTAATTGGAGCAATCCTTACATTTTTAGATGGAAGTAATGAATGTCAACAATTTCTTACAGTCAATATTCATATTTTTACGGAAAATATCAAATTGCAGTGACTATGAAATTTAATGTTCACACCGCTCTAGAAATGAAAATCATAACAACTTATGTAATGTTCCTGCAGTCAAATGACATCGATTATTCCAGGTACGCTTATTTATACTGAACTTATCACAAGACATTTATGATGATTACGGAAATTCTAAATTGAAACTGAGCGGCAAATTAGTAATCCGAGAGATGAATATCAAATGTGCAAGCAAATAAACGACTACGATATATATTCTAACTACTAAACCACATATTGTTATTGAATTGATTGAATCTTAGACATTATTAAATATCAGAACAATAATTATCACGATTTTAACGCTAAAGCTAATACGCGAATTAAAATCCTCGATCATTCAGACTTGATCACACAAATCATGTTGCGAAATAAATATGACTAATATTGCAGACGTAAACTTCATAGTTAATTGATTGAAAAATTGCACAAATTAATTCATAAAAATTACTACGTAATTAAAATAATGGAATGTCGAGCTAAGTTTTGAATTATTCGATTGAATGTGCAGTATAGAATCTCAAGATGAAATTGAGTGATATCGTTTCAAAAGATGAATAAAAGAAAATCAAAATGCTAGAACAACCAAAAGTGAAAGCAAATATTCAAACTTACGGGGCTGGAGCTTTCGAAGAAGTTTGTTATACATGGTACCGAGATGATAGCCTTCCTTCCGCTTGGTCCGTCTTGGAGAATCCCGCTCTTAGATTATGCAATCGGCAAGTATATCCTTGATGGTCAGGTGAACGTGGTCTATCTCACATAGTTTGGTATCCACTGATATCTTATAGCACAATTCCACACTGCATACTGGGCACTCACTGCATACTGGGCACTCACTTCAAAAATTGAAAAATAACTGCCAATATTGGATTGACGACCAGTATTTATACTATTGCTCCGACGATGATTCTTGCATAGTTAAAGAAGAGGGGGTGGCCAATAGCAACGTCGAAATCTTCCGAAAATTGGGCATTAGAGGACCCACCCAAGTTTTAGGGGAGGGTTTTTTGGAGATGACAAGTAACGAGTCCATGGATTGGTGCGTTGCACCCCCTACTTTCATTAGTAAAATGACGAGAAAATACATTTGTCATAGACGATGAATATTTCACGAAAAATTTACTAAAGAACAGTAATTTTTCCAAGTGAATTTTCTAAAAAATATATAATTTTATATAAAAATTTATATTTGGAGAACTGAATAATGTTTGATGATTTTTTTTCAGAATGTGCAAAATAATTTCCGCTATAATTTCATAAAATGTTGAATTTTTAACGTTGACATTTATTATTTTATTTATTTATCAACACATACCATGATAAATTTCAGTATTCAATGTCAATGAAATTTATGCAATGTAATTTTAAACACATAATTGCAATTGGAATTTTCACACATCGAAACATGAAAATATTTTATGAAAAATTTTAAATGTTTACAATTTGATGTTTATTACATTTTTCCATGCGATAATGAATGTAGATAAAATAAACAATCATGTTGAAAGATATGCTGGTTTTTCAATTTTTTACAATGATCTCTTTATCAACAAGTATTTTATTATTTATTTTTAAAATAATAAGTATAAGAAAAAATACTTTAATCTATTTTTAATGAACGTATTCTGGAAATAAAACATTTTAATAATTGATTTCCTTTCTTAGCGTTTTTTTAATGTCTGTAATAAAATTAACAATAATAATTTATGTAGATTTCTTTTTGTAATTAACTCCATGACATCATAGCCGCTATTAAGACTCGACTATTACAATTCAATTCTGTCTAAAAAGTTCTAAGTACATTGATACGTAAAAATCTTTAAATGAATCAATCATGAATAATATCTTAATTTTTATTTAATATCTTTCTTCGAAAACGAAAATCACTAAGTCTACCATTAGTTTTTGAATTATTATTAAATAAGAGTAACAACATTGATGTTAAATCGTGCTAGTTAAGATACGTTCTCTAATTAATTGAATACTGATTTAAATATTTCTTTTCAAATTTGATGAGAAATTAAAGCTGTGTAAGTCATGGTATTTTTCAAAATCTTTTAAAAAAACTAGCTGACCTTTTTTTGCAAAATAGATGTTGCTAGAATATGCATCTCGCGGCATTAATAATAAACTAATATGTGGCCATTGAAAAAATGTCCATGTCCAAGAGCAGTCGTAAATGCTTGCTTAAAATATTAAAATTATGGTCATGGTCTTTAGTATACCTGGTTGCAAACAACCGACTAGGTTTTATTTAACACATGCCGAGGATTTTCTCGACATTCAATGTAGTATAAACATTGCAAGAGTTTCTAAACTAATGACATAGAACTTTCTAGTTTTCAATTTTAAGGATTTATTCTATCCTTTGTCTAAAGAACAATATTAATTGTTATCGATGTTCTCAACTTTACGAATTGATGAATGAATTCTTTTCTGTCATATGTTCAAATACTTTTTAGCGATTTATGTGAAGATATGGTGATAAGACTTTTATTTAAAAGCAGCTACTGAATTATTCTATATGAGTTTTAATCATTCACGAGGAATTTCTCAATCGACCATTAAAATCACATTTCATACAATTTTCTAATTTTCGTATTCATTTATTTCGTTGATTTTTTTTTACTATCAGTTTATCATGTACTTAATTTATCAATGTATAACATATTATTTTTTTTTCAATGTCATTAATTATTTTATCTAATGAGAAAAGTAATAACGACAAGGATGTTCCGTCTTAACTGAATGTCTGCTGGATACAGATATACATATATAGATATATTTATATATATAATTTGAGATGTTTTTAATTACAGAAAAATTTATTTAATAATATAAAATACAGAACTAAAAAGACGTTGACTCATGAACTTTATAAAATGCTGAAATTAAATTTTTCATCAATATAAATTGGTAATAAAATAAATTTATGACGTAATTGATGATAAAAAGTACAGAAAGTTTCTGATCTGATGATGATTAGCCTTTCAATTTCACTTTCCGTGTTGAATATATTTATTTCATTGATGTAGAATATTTTTTTTTTTATTAATTTTGTATGCCAATTTTCAATCACTTGAAATTTCCTCATATAGAGTAAATAAATCCATAGATGGATACAACTTGAATTTTACTAAATAATTATATTTATAAAATTAATGGATGAAGTTTATTTTACTTGATGTTAATACCAAATAGAATTTAAAAAAAAAAACTTATAATTTACCATTAAAATTGCTGGCTTCGTTATTAATACATTAATTATATACAATGTTTCATTAATGCGTCATGATTAATATTAATAAACCTACTGATAGCATTAAAATTCATTTAAAACTTATAGATTTTACTAATGAATAAGATATTTGTTTTGTATTAAATGTATTTATTTTCATGTGAATGAAAAGGAAAGATGGATTAAATCCTAGATTTAGCAGCTTGCATGTTTATTTACTAACTATAAATTATAGTTGATATTGATATTACGAATTCGATAAACGCCAATTATTATAAAAAAAAATTATATAATATTAACTAAAAATTTTTGTTAAATATTGAAAACCAACGTTGTATTTTCAGAGAACTTAAAATCTACAAAAACTGAAAAGTATTTACATAGCAGCCTCAGTCCCAAAATGCAGAAAATGATTTATTACCCTTCGGACCATTGCCATTCATTCAACAGTCGACGACTTAGGGATGAGACAATAAGCCGGGGTTGGATTTTTCCAGCACTTCAAGACCTGAGTCATAAAGTGATTTGAATAAGAAGATTACAGAACAGAAATTTTCATGTTTCAAATGCATAGGATACTTCATCACAGATCCTTAAGTAAATTTTAGACTTTTTTCTACCTCAACTTTCTATTTTAAAGCGTCAGCTGTAAATGTTAAGATCTAAACAATGCCTCCCTCCAAGGAAAATTATATACTGCTTCGAAGACCCTTACTTTCTTGATAGGGATGATCATGACAATACAAATTTTCACACTAATGTATTTTCAAGGTAAAACTGCATTGAAAAGCATAAGATTTTCACTTTTTCACAACAGCGAAAAACATGTATTTTCGATGAATATTGCAACGTATTTGTCATTTAAAAATATGAGTATGAAATCAGTCAAGAAATATATTCTACGAGGATTTTATCTTAAAAAATAATTTTTTTTCAACTTACTTCTTGGTGGCGGTGCTAAAATAAGGAGAGGAGTCTCTTCTGTTGGGAAGTCATCAAAATATTGAGCTGGCATAATTTTTCTAGATTTATTTTTTTCAAGAATTAATAATTTACTAACACAAATTACCACTTTTATAAATTATAAAAAAATCTGAAGTAAAGAGTTATTTTGATTGTGTATCACATGAGGACAACTATCAATTAGATCAAAGGTCATCTATAACTTAAGAGCTATCATTCTCTGATAAATAAATATATATACTCATTGTCATAATTAAATAATAAAAATAGAAATATTTTTCAAAATTTACGTATTCTCGTAAGTTCAAATTTCTTATTATCACTTCAGCTATTTATTAATAAATTAATAGATAAAAAATTGTCTTACTGCTATTTGAATTCAAAAATTCCCGCAGTAAAAAGTCGTCGATAACTAAAATTCCCCATTTCTAGACTCTTTTTTATCCTCTAATACAATGCTGCTTTTCTCACTAGAGTGACAAGCATTTCTACTGTGGCCGTTTTGGCCGACGTGAATTTATTTGGAGTTATTTATTAAATATTAAATAGTTGCAACAAGAAGAAAAGAATAATTATTTTGTTGGTATTGAATAAATTATCCTGAGTGTAAAAATGACGCTCACATTGAAGGTAAATTTTTTGTAATTATATTTCTTTCCAATCTTGTAAGTTAAGTTTGGTTAAGTTGGAGTTAATTTCTTAATATCCTGTTTATTAAATATTCAGATGGATGTTGATGACAAAGCGATGAAAGGGGAAGGATTCAGGTCCTATTATATTACTAAGATAGAAGAACTACAACTAATTGTTGCTGAAAAGAGTCAAAATTTACGAAGATTACAGGCCCAGCGTAATGAGCTTAATGCTAAAGGCAAGTATTCGACCATTAAGTCATTCATTAAATTATCCGGGATTTTCTTTGAAAAGTTAAATTCTTTTTTTTGAGAATAATGTATTATTTTTGCTTCATTACAATGCTTTGCTTTTTAAATGAAATAATATATATTAATGATTTACATTTTCTATTATTATAGTTCGAATGCTTCGAGAAGAACTCCAACTTCTTCAAGAGCAAGGATCTTATGTTGGTGAAGTTGTAAAACCCATGGATAAAAAAAAAGTATTAGTAAAAGTTCATCCCGAAGGCAAATTTGTTGTAGACTTAGATAAAAACATTGACATCAATGATGTAACTCCAAATTCCAGAGTAGCTTTGAGAAATGAAAGTTATACTTTACATAAAATTTTGCCCAACAAAGTTGATCCTCTAGTTTCTCTTATGATGGTCGAAAAAGTTCCTGATTCTACATATGAAATGGTTGGGGGTTTGGATAAACAAATTAAGGAAATTAAAGAAGTAATCGAATTACCAGTCAAACATCCTGAATTATTTGATGCTCTTGGAATCGCTCAGCCAAAAGGAGTGCTCTTATATGGACCTCCTGGAACTGGAAAGACTTTATTAGCAAGAGCTGTAGCACATCATACAGAATGTACTTTTATTAGAGTATCTGGATCAGAATTAGTCCAGAAATTCATTGGAGAAGGATCACGTATGGTACGAGAATTATTCGTCATGGCAAGAGAGCATGCCCCGTCTATTATTTTCATGGATGAGATTGATTCAATTGGAAGTTCTCGTATTGAATCTGGTTCTGGTGGTGACAGTGAAGTTCAACGTACAATGTTAGAATTATTGAATCAACTTGATGGTTTTGAAGCTACAAAAAATATTAAAGTAATAATGGCTACGAATCGAATTGATATTCTTGATCCTGCTCTCTTACGTCCTGGTCGAATTGATCGTAAAATTGAATTCCCTCCACCAAATGAAGAAGCTAGACTTGATATCTTAAAAATTCATTCGAGAAAAATGAATTTAACTCGAGGTATTAATCTGAGAAAAATCGCTGAACTTATGCCTGGTGCCTCGGGCGCTGAAGTTAAGGTATCATTTTTAATGCCGTTTAATTATGTATTCATATTAAAGCTATATCAAATTCGTGTTAAAATTGGAAATTTTTTTTTTTAGGGAGTATGTACTGAAGCTGGAATGTATGCATTGCGAGAACGTAGAGTTCATGTTAATCAAGAAGATTTTGAGATGGCAGTAGCTAAAGTAATGCAGAAAGATTCTGAAAAGAATATGTCTATCAAGAAATTATGGAAATAACTTTGTATTATTTGTATTATCATTCTAACAAATTTATCTATCGTTCTAGAATTTTGTGACAAAAAAATAATTTTGCAATTATTTTCTATTTCATATGTACTTCATCAATAATACAATCGTAATTATATATTACAAAAGCATTCTTTGTGATATTTCATTGATTTACTATCAAATGAAATAAATAACAAAATCATTGTTATGAATAAAATTAAAACAATAGTTTTAAAGGCTGCGTTTACACATTTTTGCAAATTCAAGAGCTGAAGAGATTGACCGACGTCCGATAAGTATGCAATCATGGCCTCTTGGTAAACTTCGCGCGCCACTTCTGTGTCATCACTAACCTAAAAGTTTGTTACAGTGTAAATGAAACGCAAAGATATCGTTTTGTAAATGGTTTTCAAAATGACAAATCGGTATCAATGTTAGCAATTTTAGTGTTAATTATTTATTGAAATGGATGTAGACAATCAGAGTGAAGACGGTGAAATAAAAAAAAGCCCAATGAAGGACATGGATGACTTTAGGTAAGTTTGACTTTGTAATTTTAAGGTTATTTCGCATTGAATATTTTCTAAAAATAATTAATTTATAATGATGAGTTAATAAAATATTAATAAAAAAATGAATTGAATGAATAACTTTCTTTTTACAACAGTTTTTCAGAAGAAGAAGGAGCAGATACTGCGGATTCTTTAGATATAAAACCACCACAAGCTGCAGTTCGTTTACATAAATCTAGTTCATCTAGAAGACGAGAGAAACACAGTGATCGAAGAGACAGACGAGATGAAAAAGACAGAAAATCTCGTCATCACGATAGAGAAGATAGACATAGGGATAAACATAGACATCGTCGCCATGGTTTAGAGTCATTGGAAAGATCAGAAAGGTCAGATGGGTCCAAAAGAGATCGAGATAGATTAGAGCGCCTTGATCGTTTAGACCTTCATTCACGTGAACGTGAATCTTCTAGGCATGATAGAAAAGAAAGATGTACCGGTGATCGGGTTCTCGAAGATTTGCGAACAAGGTAAATATATTTTTAATTTCTAAGACGGTATTTAATTGATTGAAATTTTTTGATAAATAAATTAAAAGAAAACTTTTTAATCAATTCGATACCAAAATATTATTTATTCAGTAATTATAATGGTATATATATTAATTAATATGATATATCATTTACTAATTTTTTAATTTCGTATTACATTTATTAATGTACTCAATAAAAGGAACTTCGTTTCAAGATTGTTGGACAAACGTCGAGAACGTCGAGATGATGGCAGAGACATGCGAGAATATAAATCAGATCGACGTGAATTACGTTTAGAAGAAAGTCGAGATCGCGATCGACGTGATATGAGAATTGAGGACATTAGAGATCGACGTGAGGTTCGAAATGTTCTTGAAGATGGACGAGATCGTCGTGAAATGCGAGTTGATGATCGTCGACACATGCAGAATATGGAGGAAGGCTATTCGGAGTCAGAATTAATGGAAAGGTCAGAAAAGAGACATAAAAGAAATCACAAGCATGAGAGAGTACGAGACAGAGATAGGGAAAAAATAGATCGTGACAGAGAACATCGGGAAAAACAATTACGAGAAGCAATGGAACTTATTCAGGCCGGAGAGCAAGAAGAAATGGACATGGGTGAGATGCCATTGCAACCTAAAGATCCCAAAGAAATGTCTGAACAGGAATTACGAAAAGAAAGGTATTGTAATCATTTTTTATGTGTTAAGAAATATTTAATATTTTTCATTTTCTAATGGGAATTTTTAATTTTTATAGGTTACTAGAAGCAGATAGAGAAATGGCTCGAAGAAAAGAAGTATCACGGATGGAGTTGGAAGCAAGACGATTAAAACGTGGCGAAAAACGTCCTCATAGTCCAGATCGAGATGCTGATCCTTCAGTAGTAGAATTAACAGACGAAAGTGTCAGTCCTATTCAATCCGACGACGACCAATCGAAATCTACTAAGTGAGTATTTTTTTTCTACTAAAAAAATATAAACTTTAATCATTACTTTTGTACAAAATATTTTATTGAATATAATAACATGGAATCACATATACTATTAAAAATTGGTTAGTACTTGGAAATACGCGATCGCTGAGGAGCATTTTATGCTGTTGATGCTTTTAAATAATTCGATCGGTATTTCAACATGATATGAGCGTTTCTGTAAGAGTATAATTTTAAATAGTATATGTACTTTAATTAATTTCAATAGAGTTTTATTTATTATCGTTATTCAGTGTAATGTTTTTTTTTTTAGATCTCAAGATAGACAATCATCAGAAGAACACAACAGCGGTCAAGACAGATCTTCTGACAGACACTCATCAGACTCTTCAGATTCAAGTAGTGATGACGATGACGAATCAAATGATTCGAATAAAGGTTCCAATGATGAATCTAACGATGGATCAGATTATAACAATCCTAGTCCATTATCTGTTGATCGACTGGCCAAATCAGATCACTCCGATGGTGGTTCTCCAGGTCGTGTAGAATCTAATGGTACTGCTAAAGAGGCGGAAGAAGAGGAAGAGCAGAACAAGAAAGTTGAAGAACCTGAATTGCCTCCCTATTTGCCAGCCATTCAAGGTAAGTTACTTTGTCACTTAAATATTTCTGAACTTAAAAATTGAAGGATTCTTGAATACTTAATTGAGGAATTTTACGGATAGGATTAAAATAAATATAGAATCTTTTTTTATAAAAATTTACAAGTGATTTATTTACATATTAATTTTTTCAAACAGGCTGTAGGAGTGTTGAAGAGTTCCAGTGTTTAAATCGAATTGAAGAAGGAACTTATGGAGTTGTATACAGAGCTCGAGATAAACGCACAGATGAAATAGTGGCCTTGAAGAGATTGAAGATGGAAAAGGAAAAAGATGGTTTTCCAATTACAAGTTTACGAGAAATAAACACTTTACTGAAAGCTCAACATCCAAACATTGTGACAGTGCGTGAAATAGTCGTAGGAAGTAATATGGATAAAATATTTATCGTCATGGACTATGTTGAGCACGATTTAAAATCATTGATAGAAACAATGAAACAAAAGAAACAAGGATTCCTTCCAGGCGAAGTTAAATGTTTAATGCAACAACTATTGAAAGCAGTTGCCCATTTACATGATAATTGGATTCTCCATCGGGATTTAAAAACATCTAATTTATTATTAAGTCATCGAGGAATTTTAAAAGTTGGAGATTTTGGTTTAGCACGAGAGTATGGTTCTCCATTAAGGCAGTATACACCTATAGTAGTGACTCTATGGTACAGAGCACCAGAGTTGCTTTTAAATGGCAAAGAATATAGCACGCCAATAGATATGTGGTCAGTCGGATGTATTTTTGCCGAGTTAATTAAAATGGAAGCTTTATTCCCAGGCAAATCAGAAATAGACCAATTAAATAGAATATTCAAAGAATTAGGAACACCCAGTGAACGTATTTGGCCTGGATATAGCAAACTTCCAATGGTTTCTAAGATACCATTCGCTCATTATCCTGTCAATAATCTACGACAGCGATTCAGCCTGTTTTTATCAGATCAAGGAATTGAATTGCTAAATAAAATGTTAACTTACGATCCTGCTCAACGAATGACTGCTGAAGATGCTTTAAAGCATCCTTACTTTACGGAAACTCCATTGCCGATAGATCCAGAAATGTTTCCAACATGGCCAGCTAAGTCGGAGTTAGGTGCCAGGACTGCTAATGCTTCTCCGAAACCACCGAGTGGTGGAAAAGAGTACAAACAGTTGGGTGATGGTGATGATGCTGATCTCAGTTATTCAGAAGGTTTTCATATGGGACTTATTGAAGGAGGCAGACCTCCTCCAGTAGGAGTTGGGTTTCATTTAAAATTTTGAGTATCTTTTCTTGACATAATTGAAAAATAAAATCAATTAAAAATGCATTTTTTATTCATTATTTCTTATTGTATTGTACTGTGAGAAAAGGACATTAAGTAAATTTAATTAGTTTTAGTTAAATAGTGAAATGGTATCATCTTGAAAAAAAAGTGTTTATGATCAATTTTATCTACGACAAATCAAAAAATCAATATTTGGGAGATATTTTGTATTATTATTGATAATTTTGATATACTCCTTTTGGTTCATTACATTGCATAATAATCTATTTTAGATAATACAATAGAAAATTGTAATTATTTTGTAAGAATTGAAATAATTTTAATTAAAATTTGTCATAAACACAATTTTTCGTATACAATAATGTTAATTTATGCGTCTCATAACAGTGAATATAGAATCAAGACGCGTATATTTAACGAAAAAGTGAAATACAAATAAAATAAATAATACCATCGTCTGTTCATTTTAAACTAATGAATGTTTATTAGTAGATTTATTCATTCTCAATAATCGAATTTTTTTACGGATATGCTGACTATTTTTTTATATTTAACACGTGAGATTAATCTCAGGACGTGTAATCAATCGTTGAAGAAACATTTATCAATTCATGTAAATATGTCAAAAGCTGTGACATTGAATTAAAATTGGAATCAGTTGTTAAATTAATGTGTAATTAATGTGTGTACTATGTACAAATTTAAAAAAAAACAAACAAATATTGGATTTATATACTTCTATAAAATATTAATAATAACACTTGAAAATAAGAATACTCACGATTATCAATCTTTTTATTCATTTTTGTATTTTTTAAGTTTTTAGTTATTCATGAAATTTTCATTGAACACGTTTTAATACAGTATCCTTATTCCTAAATTAAATTTGTATTTTTATCTTTTCATTTTTACTATCGAACTTAGCGATTATTTAAATTTCGAATTTTTTTTCTTATCACGACACTAACCTTGCTCTAATACATATAATTCTCAGGGTAAAATTGTAAACCTCTTAATTATGATAAGATAAAGGCTGGAGAAATGAGCAGAATAATTTTATTTTTCAACGATAAATTGAATTTTATGGACTCTAGACTACATTAAATTGTAAAAGAATTTTTACATGGTTTTCACATAATGCATCTCTTTATTTGCTCTTTTTAGTATAACATATTTAAATATTATTTTTTGTAAAGTTTTCACATATTATTTTTCATTCGTACATGTAATATTAATAATCACAATTGCTAATAATATATAACAATTTACTTTTATCTCATATTATTAATAATGATATTTTTATCTAATCATGCAGTTCATTAGTAGGAGATGAAACAAGTCAGTTATGAGTTCAGCGAGTCTATTTCCCTGCATTATTCATATTTTTTGGTAAGCCCAAAAGTGAATTAATTATCTCAGAGTTCCTTTTCGAATGACACATACGTTGGGGAAATAGTAAGATCTTTGCTAACTGCAGCTGATCACTGTCCTATGAAAAAAAGAACTCGAAAATAAAAATTATTTTTAACAATAATATTGATATTGATGTAAAAAGATTTTTTAAAAATACCACTCCTCTTCCGTAGGGAAAATTAGAAGCGACCAGCTCTCGATCGTCTTCAATTGTTCCAGAAATATTATCAACATTGTTCATGAAGATAATTATAAAAAATATAGTAGTAACACTTATAACTTTTTTAATCATTATTCTGGAATAGAAATTAATTTTGATTTTCTGTTACAATGTGATATTTCAATGAATTATTATCAAAACTTACCTATTGTCCTTACCTAAGTATTGTCCAATTTAATGAGTGTTTGAATTAAATTTTATTTTCCAGGAGATTCCAATAGAGATCTTCTTTTTGAACAGTCTAGAAATGATCTGGATAATGTTTCAAATCTAGACTTATTTATACTCGTGAGAATTGCAGGGATGAATGAATTCTGTCACTTGCATTGGAAATATTTTATCATCAAACTGTTTAAAACAGGCACATCTTCAAGTTATGTCTTCAATAATGTACAATCTATTTTATTATTTTTACTCAAGTTCTAATAATAGTTGAAAAATATTTTAATCGACTATATATGATAATTTTCATTTAAACTATTTTAAAATATTTTGCTAAAATTTGCTTCCACTTCAAAGTAGAAGTTTTTAAAAATAGCTGAAGTTTCCAACAATAAAAATTCATGCAAAATTTTTTATTGATACTCTAAAATCAGCATAAAATATATTTGACTGTAATTTAGTGCGTTTGGCACTTATGGGTTCAGATCAAAACACTAGGAGTTCCAAAACCTGATTATACTAAAATACTATCCGGTTCTTTCGAGCCCCCAAAATATTCCAGAGTTGATGGAGCGAGTTTATCTGTAAGGATGAAGGGATTAAGGAAAAAATTTGATAGTAGAAGAAGCAGTGAATATATAAAAATTATTTTCACATTGCTATATTTATTCAACAGGTGATTGAACAAATACGAATATTAAATTAATGCAAACAATTTATAAATATTTCTAATTTTTTTTTTTTTTGTTAATAAAGGATAAAAATCATATGTCCTGCTGAGAACCAGCTTCAGTTTGACCTGAGTAGACCTTGAACCATCTTAAACGATTCTAGACTGACATGCTCATCACAATCATCAGACCAGCACCTTTCTGAAGTCAATCAACCTGCTTCCTATGTCAGAGATGTTTTTTAGGGTTTTTTCACCCTTCATTACACTGATTATAGATGAAAGGATTCTATTATTTGAACAGTTGGAGTTTAGTGTTACTGCCAAAAGAATTCCTACAAGAAGTATTAGATTACTCATATAATAATATTAACATTTTTTTTTCAGCAACAGAATAATCAAGATTGTTTTCAAAATTAGCTAGCATTGATGTTGATGAATTTATTGGAGGAAATGAATTTAAATAAAACCTTCTTTGCTATTTATTGCAGAATGTGATTAACAATTCTATCATAGACAGCATTGGGCCTTGATAAAAAAAGTCAAACCTAAACGTGTTTAGACTAAATTAATTGTTTAAAAAATACACAGACCAATTGTGATAAATTTTATTGATAAATTCAGTTTGAAACAAGAAATTTAATATTTTACTAAAGTATTGTGTGCCAATCAATTATCACCATTCGAATTCTGTAACTAATAAGAAATTAGTCATTTTAATTTATCGATATATTTCGATTATTGACTAATATCACACATCCAATGTAAAGTCATAAGGAGGAAGGATCGTAAGGAGAATGTTAATTGGAACGGTTATTTTATTTTCACTTATTCAAATAATACAGATGTACTTTTTATCAACATGATTGATAGTTTTACAAGACAAGAGTACTCAAAGGCTTTTAGATAAACATTTCTTTAATAAGTTTGCTTGATAAATACATGACATTTTTTCATAGTAGTCATTTTTAAATCATCTTTTTGCACTTAGATTCACTGATGTAATATCAATTATTTTAAGAATATGAAAGCTATAGATTACTCGTTAATTTAATTTCATCATCAGAATATTGATTTTATTTTTAATAAAGAAATTTAGTAGACTATTTCATCAATTATGGAGTCTAGATAATAATGAAAAGAACTTAAAAATTTCTCCATCTCTCTAAATAAATTATCTTATAGACTAAGTCTAAGCTATCTTATACTGATGATGATTTATGTAACTCTGTATTTACTCTTTAGTAATGCTTTTAACACATACATTTGTTTTAGACAACATCCTAGCTCCAATGAGTTCTTCCAAATATCAAAATGGTTAGACGAAAAATACTTTTAGTGCCAACGACCTGACCTTCGATATACGATGACGACAGTCACACCTTTTGTACACGACAAAGATCGAACTCATTAAATCAAGTTGTATATCTCATTTGTATGAGAAAGACTCTGACAATCTAAACGAAATGAATCACTTAATTTTTTAATTCAGAAAATATCCAAGATTTAAAGAGCAAATTTTATGGTTATCATCTAATAAAGTGAGAGAAAAATCGAAGATGATGTAAGTAATGAAAATATTAATTCCATAAATTGATTGATAAAATTGTATCTCTAATTATCTAATTGTATTTTTTTTAACAGCATCAATTGGTCTTTTAAGCTTGACTCTTTTGGGTAAATAATTAATAGATGCGATATCACCAGTCAATGGTTTCATATACTTACCAGTCATTTTTTTCAATAATGATGTTAAGTAAGTTTGTTATTAATTATACACATTTTTGAGTTGTAATTAATTATTTTCATCAACTTTATCTTATTAATACCAGCAAGATAAAACTTGAAAGGAAACGTTTTCATCAAAGAAACGGATTCAAATTAAAATCAGCTGAACAGGATGATTAAATTACTGTAATTAAGTTCTGGAAAATATATTTGAATATAAGATAAGTAAAATGACTCAATGACTTGAGATTTTTTAATATGTAAAAGATTTAAAAAAAATTTTCAATAGTCATATCCCGATCTACTGATCCATATCTAGAGTGCAGTTTTTCTAGTTCTTTACCACAATTAGGGATGTAGGAATGTGTTTTCCAACAGGTATATCAATTGAAACAATCAATACTGCCGTCTACCTAAACAGCTTATCGATAGAACTGAATCATCAGATGAGGTAGAAGTCATCGGACCTCGAGACCAAGCTCTTGGTTTCTGTGTACAAGGGCGAGGCATCGGCGTGATCGTCTTCTGCGGACCGTGCGGGGACTCGCGAGTATATATGGGCCTTATACGCGTCCGGAATACCACATTCACGATTTGCCCTACCAAGCAAGGTTGTCCGGACCCCCTTTAATCACGTAGTAACGGAGTCGGCACCTTCAAGACTTCGTTGCACTTCTGAGGACAGTCAATCGTGCGTGTTGCCTGTGATCCACCTGTTTATTTTTCGTTCGTATATTTTTAAAGTGACCAAATTGAATATTTTTAATTAAAGGAAACTCATTGCCCAAGGTATGGTCTAATTTTATTTATGATAGTACATCATTTTTTTTTTAATTTTATTAATATTAATTAATATTACAAAATTCATAGCTCGTATTGTTTAGGTTTAGTTATGGCTAGAAAAATGATTAAAAACTTCAGGGTCGTTGGGTAGTAATGAATTTATACGCGCGACTTGAATTCTTGAAAAATCCTTGTTTTTTAATAAGGAATTTATATGGCCATTGTTTCACTGTCTTGGTCTTGGTATCCAACAATGGGACTAATGCAAATTTCTGCATTCTAACATGTTGGAAACGCTACTGGAATTGTTGTGAAGATTATTTAAAAAAATATTTAACATATCCGTTATTTAGTTTGTGTGAAATGTTTTTATCTTTTTTGCTGCAAGATATTATTAAATTACTGATTGTCTAGTGAATCATATTGATAACGATTAGATCAACCCTAAATTGATAACTCATAGATTCAATAGAATCTCGGTTGATTTTCCAACTGATTAAAATTTGAAGAAATAAGTTTTGATGATTCTTTGTTTGATGATGAAGAATACAAGTCAGATCAATTATTATATATGCATGTTATTAAAGTGTGATAAGTGAAGTTTTTTAATTAAAAGTTCTCAGTTCTTATTTTTAAGAATACTTATTATTACATGTTGTTTGGCTTTATAATAACTTGTTCGTTCAGTTTATGTATTCCAATAAATTTTTCCAGTCCAGGTTTTTTTAATATGCATGTTGGCACTCGAGGGAAGACTGGATGCCGCTGCAATTTATGTTCTGATCGACAAAAAAATGCAAAAAATAATCAAAAAAAGAAAAACTGTTCAGACTGATTCACTTGTTTACTATCAACTTGTGTAGCATAAATTAACATTTCTTGAGTGTCTTCTCTAGTTTTTGGCCACCTTTTAAAATTCGATAAAATTGTTCTGATGAGGCAACAGGAAAAGAAAAATGAGGGTTGACTATGTTAATGATAAAATTTTTTTTCAGCAATGGGTTGGCCAACATTGGCCTTGATTTTGTCGTCCTTGGGCTTTATTGCATGTTATCATCTCCCAGACTATGAACTTCTGCCACCAATACAAAAGCATATACCACCCTCGGATGTGCCAAGCTTCCAAAGAACGTCTGTTGAAGGCCTTCCGCAAACTTCGAATAATGTAAACAATCATCTTGAATTTGGGTCTTCAAGTTTGCCACTTAGAGATGCTGTTGAGTCGTCACCACGAATTGTAGACATGTTCCAAGCACTTCAAGATGGCCTTGAAGTTGATTCGGAGTTGTAAGAACCTCTTTATCTATTTTTGAGTTTAAAATATACATAATCTAATGATTCATTTATGATTTCCATTTAGATTAAATAAAAGAACTCTACTGAGAGATGCAGTAGAGCGACGACCGCCTCCTCCCTTGGGAAATAACGTCGTTGATCATGAATCTATTTGGCTTGAACAACTCTCACCTCCGGCTATCCGAAAGAATCAAGGCTCTCCTAAAATCATATGTCGCTATAATCCTGAGTCACTTTATAGGAAGGAACCATTCTTATTAGATCCCCAAAATATTCCAAGGAGAAAATGTACTCATTTAATTTACAGCGCAGCAACGTTTGGTAATAAATTTAATTTGTTTTATTATAATAAAATATTTATTAATCATTTTATTAAAATTAATTTTTTTTGATGGAATAGATCCCCGATATTGGACAATAATTTCAAGAAATCCAGAGCGTGATGAATTAAAAGGTAATTTATTCATCCTTTTAAGTTGGTAACTGATTTATCATTTTTCGTTTACAACCATCCTAATGAAAATGAATAATTACGTTATTTTATAGGCGGATATAAAATAGTAACTAATCTTCGAGAAAAAGATCCTTCCTTACAAATTCTAGTCTCAATTAATTCTCTGGGTCACGGCAAATATCTGAGAGAATTGATCAACAATCCCAAGCATGTTGAAAAGTTTGTTGAATCAACAGTGTCTTTCTTAAAAGAGCATCAATTTGATGGAATTGAGTTAAACTGGAAGCATCCTAATATTCCTCAGTTGAAATTACTGTTACAATTCATGTATCCAACATTGTACGCCGAAGGATATACTCTAGCAGTAGTATTAAGACCTGAAAATATGATCGATGCACGATTAAGTAACCTGGCAGATATTTTACTGCTTCAACCTTGGCAAGCGATTCCTGCTCAATATGCTGCTCATCCTGCTCCTTTAGATTCAATTATGGTTTTTGTAAAAAAATGGATCGACGCAGGTGCCAGTTCTGAAAAAATAGTTCTCGGACTTGCTTTCTTTGGAAAAAGCTATACTTTAAAAAATCCTAATGCAACATTTGCTGGATCACCAATTGTTGGCCCAGGAATTGGTGGTCCTTACACTAAAGGAGTTGGAGTCTTAGCTTACTATGAAATTTGTGATGAATCCCAAAATTTATGGAACACTGGTAGAGACTACCAAGGTCCTTTTATGAAACGAGGAGATCAGTGGATTGGATTTGAGGATCCCTTCTCAATAAAAATAAAAACGGCTTATGCTAAAACAATGAACCTTGGTGGAGTTTTATTGTCTTCTATAGACCTTGACGATTTTGTTGGAGTTTGTGGAAATCCTTGGCCAATGCTGGATGCTGCTATAACAAGTTTAGGGGTTTATAACAATCCTGTAGAAAAATGTGAGATGGAAGGAATTTTTAAAGATCCAGAAAATTGTGCTGGATTTTTCGTATGTGACAAAGGAAATCTTTATCAAAGTGTTTGTAATAAAAAATACTTCTTCAGTTCTGTGGAAAAACGATGTGTTAAAGCAGATCCTGGAGTTTGCCAACCAGGATATTTAAGTAAATATCCAGCAGGGAGTAATTATTTAGTTTCACTTCGAGAAAAACAGCAAAGTCAAAAACTTCAAGTAAAACAGAATAGTCCTAGAGTGGTATGCTATATAACATCTTGGGCTTTGTATAGAAAAGGAGATGGAAAATTTGTTCCAGAGCATCTGGATAATCGGCTTTGCACTGATATTGTTTATGCATTTGCTGGTTTGAATCCTGAAACATTAACTATTCAACCATTTGATCCTTGGGCTGATATCGAAAATGGTAAGTAATTAATGTGATTTGTTTTTTATGGTTTAAAAAACTAATAAAAATATTTTTTTAGGTCTTTATCAAAGAATCACATCAGTAAAAGGGTCTCGAGTACTTTTAGCAATCGGCGGTTGGACAGATAGTTCTGGAGACAAGTACTCTCGACTTATCAGCAATCCAAGTTTTCGTAGAAAGTTTATAGCTTCTACAATTGAATATTTACATTCCCATAATTTTGATGGTTTATCTTTCGAATGGAACTATCCGAAATGTTGGCAAAGTGATTGCAAAAAAGGACCAGATACTGATAGACCCAATTTCACAAAGCTAATTCAAGAGTTAAAAAAAGCATTTGATGAAGCAATGCCGCGATTAACTCTTGCTGTAGCCTTGTCTGGATACAAGGAAGTTATTGACCGAGCGTATGATGTTCATGAACTTTCTAAAGCTGCAGATTTCATTTCAGTAATGACTTACGACTATCATGGAGCCTGGGAATCTCGAACTGGTCACTTGGCACCACTTTACGCTAAACCCGGTGACACTAATCCGTATTATAATGTCGTAAGTTCTAGATTAAAATTTCAAATACGCTTTAAATTTCGACGTTTTATTAATTGATATTTTTTTCTTTTAGAATTGGACAGCAAACTACTTAGTAAGTCTCGGTGCTGAAAGATCGAAATTGATTATAGGCATTCCATTTTATGGGCAAGCTTATAGACTTGCACAACCAGAACATTCAAGTTTAGGAGATCCTGCAGCAGGTCCTGGAAAACCTGGAGAATTTACTGGTCAGCCAGGAATGTTGGGATATTATGAAATTTGTGAAAAAATTAAACGTAAAGGTTGGAAATCTCAATCAGGACCTAGTGCCTATTTCAAAGACCAATTCGTTGGCTATGATAATCCAGCCAGCGTTACTGAGAAGGGAGATTGGCTCTTGAAAAATGGCTTTGGAGGAGCAATGGCTTGGACTGTTGATCTCGACGACTTTATGAATATTTGCTGTCTCGAACCATTTCCATTGCTTCGAAGTTTGAATCGCGCTTTAGGTAAATCTGTAATTTACGATAAAACATAAATTTTACAGCTCTCATAAGAGATAATAGTATGATAATATTTATCTAAAAAAAATTCATTTTAATGTTATTTTATAACTAATAAAAAAGATATTGATATTTATGTCATACTGAGATAAAGGCTTCATTCTCATTTATCGTTTTAAAAATAACGTTTTCATATAATTTAATGATGTAATATCAATACAGGACGTCTTCTGGATCCGACACCGTTCGGAGAAAATTGTGAGAGACCGTCAGAACCAATTACTCCTGAGCCACCCACGCTGACGACTCACAGTGATGCAGATGACGGAGTACCGCGACCCACGCGTCCAATGACCTCTTCAACCACCAAAGCAACGACATGGCCAACATGGACCGAAAAACCAAGTAAAAAACCTCAATCTACATCTACCACTTGGCCAACATGGACCTGGAAACCAACATCAACAACCTCAGCTACTACGACCACTACTACAACTATTAGGTAATAGTCATGAACATCGACTTGATAAATGTATGGTAAAAATTCAACCTTGTCGAAGAATAATATTTTATTCACAATGATATATTATCTATGATAATAGAGCGCCGACAAAGTGGACAACAACTACGAAGAAACCCACGACACTACCTGAAGTATCGTCCCCTACTACAGGAATGTCATGCAATTTTGGAGAATATGTTCCAGATCCAATAAATTGTCAGAACTTTTTTATATGTGTACTTGGACAATTGAAAAAAGAAAGTTGTCCTGTAGGATTGCACTGGGATAGCCTTAAGAATAGATGTGATTGGCCAGGATTAGCAAAATGTCAACAAACATCAGGTATTTAATTATCTATTAAGAATAAGCCGGGTTTAATGTAAAACTCCATGAAATCCATGAATGACATTTTACGTTAAACACGGCTACTTAGGAAAATGGAAAATTTTAATATTACGTAAAAATTTTATAATGTGAATTTATGTTATTGTTATTCATGTTGATTTCATAATTTATGAGATATATTGGAATAATTGTGAATTATTATTTTATTCAATCGATAATTAGAAACCGGAACAATTATAAATTATTCTTTGTGACATAGAGTAATGATGTACGTGACAATATCAATAATGAATTCTTAAAGAAAAATTTTATGAATTCTTGATAATCTAAGTAAGAATCATTGCTTAGAAATTTTAGATATTCTATATGATTACTCAGAGTTGTCAACTGTTAAAACCTGTTTTTACTTTATTATGTGGTATTGTTAAACATCGTCAAACACGTAAACATTCCCACATTCGATAGTTTTTCTTTCAAGCGTGTGTTTTAATGTTCTTTACGAAAAAAGTGGGGGTGTATATACAGATTGATCTACGAGATCTTCATTCATCATTATCATTTAGTCTTGGTGACTGTTTGGAGAATGGTAAAAGTATATTTTTAGCTGTAGAAATTGAATGGAATTAAATATAATGTGCCGTTGTCAAGTGCTAGTTTTGTGTCTTCTATACGGTTCTTTAGCATTTGAAAAGGACGACTGGCCAATCGATAATTACATATCTTCAGGTATGCTTGAAAATATCATTGAAGAATACTAATGAGTAAATTGATGCATTCTTTGATGAAGGAACTGAAGTTGAAGGCTTAGAATGTAATTTCTTTAAGAAAACTTTGTTTATACATTCCTACGATAAATTATTAATTATTTTCATCAATGAAAAATATTTAAATATTTAAATCAAATTGGAAAAAATGAAATTATTCTAGTTGTTGCTAATTTTTCAAGAATAATGATCTAGAAAATTTTACTACAGTTACAATTTATTTCAGCTCCTGTTTTTCCACAAAAACCATGGAGTACGCAAATTCCATCTTCATCGAAAAGGCCAATAACAACAATAAGAACTACTACAGTTGCTCCAACATCTTTTCCTATCAGCCCGGTTGAAAGCCCTACATCGAAACCTTGTCATCATGGAGAATATTATGCATATCCAGAATCATGTACACATTTTTTAATTTGTGTTAATGAAAATACAGTGATTCAACAATGTGGACCTGGTTTAAATTGGAATGATGAAAAGAAAATGTGTGATTGGGCATTCATGAATCCTTGCAAAGATAAACCTAAACAGAATTCTCCATTAACGATGAAGGAAATGGAAACTAGTGTATGTAATCTTAATGTTTACTTCTCGTGATTTTCACTTTTATTTTAGTTTTAATCACACTAATAATATGTTGTCTCTTCTGTTAGAAGCCATGTATCCCAGGAAGTCGCACTGGTGTTCCGGGAGACTGCGAGAGTTTCCATGCGTGTCTGTGGGGCCGGCATGAGAAGTTTTCGTGTGCACCTGGCCTTCACTTCAATAAAGAAATGCAAATATGTGACTGGCCTTATCGCGCGAATTGTGATGATGGTTCAGAAAAAGTTACAAGACCTCAAGTCAGTGTTACAACGACTAATCGACCAGCTAGGCCATCAAAGAAGCCAGTCACTGCAGCTCTTACTACAACAACAACAACAACAACAACTACTACTACTACTACTACTACTCAAAAACCATGGACACAAATGACTACTCATCGACCTAAACCTTTACCTTCCGGAGAAATTGATTCTTCAAAAAAATCCCCACTGTCAGGGTACTTTAAAGTTGTTTGTTATTTTACTAATTGGGCGTGGTATAGAAGAGGAACTGGAAAATATCTTCCAGAACATATAGATCATACTCTGTGTACTCATATTATTTATGGATTCGCAGTATTAGATTATTCAGAGCTCACGATTCGAGCTCATGATTCTTGGGCTGATTATGATAATAGTGAGTAAAAGTAACACATTTTGAATATTTTTTTAATTTGAAAATTTATCAAGGTTATATATTTTCTATTTTCATTTTTCAGGGTTTTATGAGCGAGTAGTAGCATATAAAAAACGAGGTGTCAAGGTATCACTAGCTTTAGGAGGATGGAATGACTCAGCTGGTGATAAATACAGTCGTTTAGTAAATTCTCCATCATCACGACGTAAATTTATTAAACATGTTATTGAATTCATTGAAAAATATGGTTTCGAAGGATTGGATCTTGATTGGGAGTACCCAGTTTGTTGGCAAGTTGATTGTCGTAAAGGTCCTGCATCAGACAAAGAAGGATTTGCAGCATTACTGAGAGAATTGAATGCTGAATTTAAACCACGAGGATTATTATTATCTGCAGCAGTTTCTCCTAGTAAAACTGTTATAGACAAAGGTTACGATGTTCCTGCATTGGCTAAATACCTCGATTGGATTGCTGTTATGACTTATGACTATCATGGACAGTGGGATAAAAAAACTGGACACGTAGCTCCGTTATATTATCACGAAGATGATGAGTTTTACTTTTTCAATGCTAATTATAGTATCAATTATTGGATTTCTAAGGGTGCGCCACCAAGAAATATAGTTATGGGAATACCACTGTATGGTCAAGCATTTTCGATTCATGATCCAAGTGTTGGGACTGGACTAAATGCTCCAGCAAGTGCAGGATTAGCAGGCGAATTTACTCAATCTGCTGGATTTTTAGCTTACTATGAAATCTGTGATAGAATTAAAAATAAAGGTTGGAAGATATATCAAGATCCTCAAAGACGGATGGGTCCTTATGCTTATAAAGGAAATCAGTGGGTCAGTTTCGATGATGCTGACATGATAAGGCAAAAAGCCCAGTTTATTCGAGACATGGGTCTGGGTGGAGGTATGGTTTGGGCATTGGATCTTGATGATTTCCGAGGAAAGTGTGGAGATGGAAATCATCCATTGATGCATACTTTACAATTAGTGTTGTCAGAGCCACCAACTCGACATGATCGACGTAAGAAACAATTACACACGTTTATTTATCACTTTTTGTTCAATGAAAGTATTATTGATTTATGATTTATTTATAGCTATTAAACCACCAAAAGTAGGTCAAGAATTGGAATGGAAACCTCATGTTCCACCTCCAAAATCCACCACATCTCATCAAGTTGATAATGATGTAAATAACGGAAATAATGATTACAAAGTCGTTTGTTATTTTACTAATTGGGCATGGTACAGACAAGAAGGTGGAAAGTTCCTTCCTGAAGATATTGATAGCGATTTATGTACTCATGTAATTTATGGGTTTGCTGTATTAGATGGATCTTCGTTGACTATAAAATCACACGATCCTTGGGCTGACATTGATAACAGTGAGTTTGTAATTTATTTCTAAGTGAAGAATTGACGCTTAAATGAAATTTCAATCTACGATAAAATTGGTTTATAGAAAATCATTGTGTTAACGATACTATAAATATTTTTAGAATTTTACGAACGTGTTGTGGCTTTCAAAGCAAAAGGTATTAAAGTTCTGGTAGGTATTGGTGGATGGAATGATTCAGAAGGTGATAAATACAGTCGGTTAGTAAATTCCCCTGGTGCAAGATCACGATTTATTACCCATGTTGTTCAATTCATTGAAAAATACGGGTTTGATGGGTTAGACTTGGATTGGGAGTATCCAGTATGTTGGCAGGTAAATTTATTGAATAACTTCTGAATAAGATGGGCTCTTCTTATTATATGTAACTTTTCTCAGAGATAGATTATTCAGTTTATAATTTTTATAGGTTGACTGCAATAAAGGCCCAGCGTCTGATAAAGCAAGTTTTGCGATGCTTGTTCAAGAATTAAGTAGCATATTTAAACCAAAAGGACTTCTATTATCATCCGCAGTATCCCCAAGTAAACGAGTAATTGATCATGGGTATGATGTACCTGCTTTAGCAAAATATCTAGATTGGATTTCTGTGATGACTTATGACTTTCACGGACAATGGGATAAAAAAACTGGACATGTTGCTCCTCTTTATGTACGACCAGACGATTGGGAACCTACTTTTAATGCTAACTTTTCAATTCGTTATTGGATTGAGCGAGGAGCACCTCCGAAAAAATTAGTAATGGGAGCTCCACTTTATGGACAATCATTTAGTTTAGCAGAGAGAAGTAATAGAGGTCTAAATGCCCCAACATATGGGGGAGGAGAAGCGGGAGAGTCTACTCGAGCTCGAGGATTCTTGGCATATTATGAAGTACATTGAATTTTTTAATGAGGAATAAAACATTAATGGTATATTGTTCAAATCAATTTTTTATATAAATAATTATATTTTAATTTCAGATTTGTGAAAGAGTATTGAAAAAAGGTTGGACTGTCGTTCAGGATCCTGAAAGACGAATTGGACCTTATGCTTATCAAGGAGATCAATGGGTTAGCTTTGATGATGCAAAACAGATTAAACTTAAAGCTGAGTTCATTAAACAACTTGGATTGGGGGGTGGTATGATATGGGCTTTAGATTTAGATGATTTTGAAAACCGATGTCACTGTGAACCTAGTCCTCTATTAAGAACTATGAATAGAGTCTTGAGAAACTATCCTGACGGACCTTTATGCAGTGTCACTGGTAAATATAAAAATTAAATGATAATTTTATAGTCTACAAAATGTATTGATGATTTCAGGATCAAACAATGAAAATATTGAACCAGTTCAAAGTACAACATATCAACCTATTACACCGTCTATACCCCAGCAAGAAACAACTACTATACCCACTTATTTACCACCAGATCCAGATGATTCTATCGAAGTCGTAGCAGGACCAGCTCCTCCCACACAAATACCTATTGGAGAATGTGTAAATCAACAGTTTATGGCTCATAATGATGACTGTTCAAAATACTTGATATGTAATTTCGGACAAGTATCTGAAATGACATGTCCGAATGGTTTACATTGGAATAAAGATCACTGTGATTGGCCTGAAAATGTTGAATGTAAAAATAAAAAATCGGATCGAAGTGAAGAGGTGAGTATTCGTAGAAAATTCAATTTATTGAGTGAAAAATATATAAAAATATTTTTATTTATTTTATTCAGACTAATACAATACCAGGAGCATTCTCAGAATTGAAGCAATCTCTGTCTCCAATTCTTGCATCAGACCGAGTGATTAATCGAAGCAGTAGGAAAGTTATATGTTATTTTACAAACTGGTCGTGGTATCGCACAAATAAAGGAAAATTTAAACCAGAAAATATTGACCCTCATCTATGCACACACATTATCTACGGCTTCTCTATTTTAGATGATGTAAAATTAACAATGAAAATTCAAGATTTGTTGACAGATATCGACAATGATTTTTATGGGCGTATCACTACATTTAAATCAAGAGGAATTAAAGTATTAATCGCTTTGGGTGGTTGGTATGATTCAGCAAGCGATAAATATAGTAGATTAGTCAATAATCCTTCTGCCAGGAGTAGATTTATCAAACATGCTTTGAAATTTGTTGAAAAATACGGATTCGATGGAATAGATATTGATTGGCAATATCCAGTCTGCTGGCAAGTCAACTGTGAACGTGGATCTCCATCAGATAAAGAATCTTTTGCATTATTTATAAAAGAGCTAAGCTATGAATTTAAATCAAGAGGTTTGCTACTTTCTGCTGCCGTTTCCGCGAGTAAAAGAGTCATTGATAAAGCATATAATGTTCCGGTTCTCTCGAGATATTTAGATTGGATTTCAGTCATGACTTATGATTTCCATGGATCTTGGGAAGGAAAAACCGGTCATATAGCACCGCTTTATTATTACCCAGGTGATGAATACGATTACTTTAATGCTAATTTTTCCATACGCTATTGGATTGAAAAAGGAGCAGAGTCTTCAAAATTAGTCTTGGGTATTCCAATGTACGGACAGAGTTTTAGTTTGAAAAATGAAGGAAATACGAATCTTCAATCATCAGCACTGAGCTCAGGACTTGCAGGTCCTTATACACAAATGCCTGGGATACTTGCTTTCTATGAAGTAATTTTTAAAAAATTTTTTTATTAATTCTTATGTGATTTAATACTTTTAATATATATTAATAACATTTATTTATTTTTTAGATTTGTCAAAAAATAAGAAATGAAAAATGGAGCGTGACAAAGGATATTGAGAAACGCATAGGACCATATGCAGTTAATGAAGATCAATGGGTTAGTTATGATGATGTGACAAATGTACTAGAAAAGGCTATGTTTATTCGGGAATTGAATCTTGCTGGAGGAATGATTTGGGCATTGGATTTGGATGATTTCAATGGAAATTGTGGCTGTGGAAAGTATCCACTGTTGACTGCGCTTAATCATGGATTACAAGGATCAGCGTATGGAAAAGACTGCACGTAGACATTTAAAGTAATAATAATTAATAATCATGTATTCATATTTTTTTTTATGATCTTCTCATCTGGAATAATCTAAGATGATTTTTTCATTTTTGAATTAAATATTTTTTGCTGTCACTATTACAGAAGGTCAGTGATATAAAATAAACATGTTAATACGTGAAATTATAGGAATAGGAATGAAATACGTACTTGGAGACGACACATGAAATAAAACAAATTTTTATACTATTTTTAAGCGTTTCATAAATTATTCATTTATTAAATGTAATATCAACTAAAAAAAACTTTTATTCTGCAGAAGATTCTTCGGTTTCTGTGTTTGGATCAGGTATAAAAGAAGCATCCAGTGACGGAAGGCACTTATATAAATAATTTCTTCCTGTGTCAGATATTGATGTACATTTATAGAGAATATTTTTTTCATCCTCTACCGCTAAATGATATTCACTCTTAGCATTTACTCTTTCATTTTCGTCTTCAGCAAAAGTAACATCATTCATACACTGAGATACTTGGAGTTGTTGATCTCGAAGTATTTTAAATTTGTCATACATTTCTTTTTTTGTTTTTTCCAAATCTAAGCGTAGTTTATATTGTCGTTCGTATTCCTTATCTAATCTTGTACGGAATTCTTTGAATGAACATTCTCTCTTTTCTAATTCTCGACTATATTGAACTAAATCATTCATCCACCGGTTGTTTTCAGAAATCTCGTTTTCAAGTTCTCTTTTTGCTGTTTCTAGTTCTGAAACAGTATTCATTAGTTCATTCACATTCTTTGCGTAGTCTTCTTTTTCTTTTTCTAATTGCTGGACTTTTTCCATTAGTTTACTCATATTCTTTGCAGAATCATTATTTATTTCTTCTAGTTTTACAATATTTTTTTCTAGCTCACTAATGTTCTGCGCAGAAGTCAAGCAACATTCTGACATGCCTTTCATAAGTAATTGTAGTTCATCAAAGCCCGTATCTTTTAATTGTGAACTGTCATGTGCAATATTTTTTTCAGATATATTTATCATCAGATTTTTATCATCATCACTCTTTACTGCATCTTCATTTTCTAGTATCTGATTTAAAATATTATTTCAATTAGCAATTTGTTTAATTAATAATAATCGTTTATATTTTTTTTTATAATTATATATTCACACTTACCTGACAGTATCCAACGCTGATGAATAAAAATAAAAAGAACTTGGTCAGCATCTTTAAGATTGTTAGGTTCCAATAATGAGTAATTCAGATTTACAAGATGAGTTTTTTTGTTCCTAACTTAGTACAATTTCAAATGATAATGTTTCCTCGTCTTTGGTTTTTCGAAGTTTGAGAAAATTTGGAAGTGAAGCCTTATTTAAAGGACCAAAATACGATTATCGAATAAAGTAAATAGTTGTAGTATAGAATAAAAATACATTTGTTCGACTTATCTGAATTTTTTTTACTGGAATTACCAGAGCCACGTTTGCGTCTGTTTCATGAAAACTGTTGTAAGTCTGTTGATACAGTACTATAAATTTTATCATACAATTCGTAGTATTATCTATTACCTAATCTCCGGTGGAATTTCATATTGAATTAATTGACGTCATTTTTTTTTATTCTTATTTATAGAATTTAAATATAAGTCAAATGATTCTTCCGGATTCGTTATTGGTTGTAAAAGAGTTATATTATTAAAAATAACAAGATAATAATTGAGAAAGTAAATAAAACCCGATCGGAAGTTTGGTGTGAACGACATTGGAATAAATTACAAGTAGTTCAAGTCATCACTAAAGTAAGAGTAGGTAGAAACTTAAATTAAAATAATTCATATTGATTAATTAGTTGTAGGTGATTGAATTTTAATCAAACTAATTTTACAATAATTAAATAAAAAAAAGCAATGATAAGCTGTTGTACTTTATTTTAGTAATCAACATGTACCTTTTTCAATTTTGAATATATATTTTTATGAATATTTTATTTCCGACAAATAAGATTTTACATAAAAATTCTACAAGTTAGTTAAATGTTCAAAATCGATTAAAAAATTAGCAAAAAAGTTAATAAGGAATAACACTGGTTCAATGAACCATTACGATAAAGAGAAAAGACAGTGAGTCTTGGTGATAGTAGAAGGGCTATAGTTTATTTTAACGCATAGTATAAATGTACAAAGCAACTAATGTTTAACTTTTTCTTAATTCATTTATATAACTAAATGTATTTCGTTAATGTGGTTAATATTAATCGTTCTCAAAATAATAAAGATGCGGCTGCAGCAACGAATTCGCTGTTTCGTACAAAAAGATTCAATGCATTAGCCGCTAAGGCGATCGGATTAATTTCTACAGTTTTGGCACTTAGAATTTATTTAATTGCACTACCAACGTACGGGTCTCATTTAAGCCGAGACATTGTTTTGATTTTAATCGGCTTAATTAATATTCATCTTTAACCACTAAACTGTGTTCTTAAATCAATTCGATTGTTTCAATTGTGCTTAAAAAATTTTTTTGTGCGTTTCTTAATTAATTGAAAGAATTAACTTGTGTAGACTAGAAAAAATTTTGAAGTGAGCATATTTACATAAATTTTAGAAAATTATCAAATACAAAAAATAAATAGTGTTTATAGCAGTAAACTAGAGAAAAATTATTATTGAAACAATTGAAAAATTTATAGGTAAAACAAAGATGTTTATTCAAGATTTTTCTACAAAATAATTCATTTGTTGTATTTTTGTTTCATATTGTTTAGTAAAATATACAAACATATTATAATTAATTTATAAGACTATTCAACACTTGTCAGTTTCAAATAATGTAAGTAAAAAAATACATCAGTGGTTGAAGATAAATATATTCATTAATTAGTTTATTCAACAACTTGCCAATTGCAAATCAGTTATTAATGAATGTTATAAAATAGAACATGAATACTCGTGGCTTTTTACTTTCTATAATACACGCTTTACCGTTATCATGATTATTTTATTGTTCAACTTATTGCAAGGTTCTATTAGGCTCTGCTATAAAATTCTACAATTTATTTTTAATTCAAACAAATTTCCGTTATTGATAAATCAGTTAATAAATCAATTTATTTCAATAAAAAAAACTGCTTTAGCAAATCGTTTTAACACGGTAAAGCGATGCAAAGCTACAAATACTTTTTAAATTAATAAAAATAATGAATTCTTTATGATTTACAAATCATCTGGTAATGTTAGATAATAAAATTAAATAGTGAGCCAATATAGACCTTGGTTTACTTTGAGGAAGCTCTACGATTAATTTCTGGTGATATTAAATGCTTTAGAGTTATTCCAGACTACAGAGAATTAATGAGCTAATTATGTATATAGATATCGACAGTTTTATTTTGAGTGGAGCGAAATGAAATGAAATGAAAAATGATCGATCAATAATATTTTATTTTTTCTCAGCCAATTTATGGCAATTACGTATTTCCAATATTTTTATTTCTATCATTTGATATTTTATAATTTGATTGATATACACTCAGTGAAAATTATCGCCTCAATTAAATGGGGTTTTTTTATTTCTCGTTTATAATAAGTTTATTATATCAACTTTACCACTAAATATATTACAGGCCACTATAAAAAGACTATAGAATACTTTTTCGTTGGAATGGCTGCCTAACTTTTATGATTATATTTTTTTTTAATTTTTCGGAATCTGTTCTTTGAATAATCGAACAATATTCTTTACTTCTATTTACTACAAAATAAGCTCGTTACGCTTTTGTTGACTCGACATGTAATTTGGTTACATTCATCCAATCGTTAATAAACATGATGAATTTATTATAAATAATTTTTCCTGATTAATTTTATTTTTTTACTTTCTATTAAACAAGTCCAAAGTCTGTATGTACGGTAACATCTCGATTATTAGGCTTATCTGCTGCCATATTTACCTCAACTAAAGTATCAACGCTATTAATTGGACAACCTTTAAGTATTTTCTGAGCTGCCAGACTTGTAAACTGCACCTGCATGTCACTGAGACTTGGGTAAGAGTACAAATCCCCTCGACTCACTGTTTTTTCTAAATTCGGTTCTGATCCTTGAGGAGCTCGTCGTGATTTACCATTCTCTAAGTTTTCGATATAAACATTATTGAATGATCCTCCAAAGCCATCGAAAGGTTTTGTAGGTGACGGTGGATTTGAGACATTATTTTTAGAACCTGGACGAAGGAGATTTCTAAAACTCAATGCATCTTTGGATAATGAGAGACTGAGTTTTCGAGAATTATTCATGGCATCATTGGTATTTTTAATTGAAGATCCATTGAGTGAATGATCATTTGACAAAGCAAGAGAATTTTTATCAATGTTATTCGTTGATCCATCAATTAAATGTGCTTGACTATTATTCAATCGATTCGTTAATTTTAATTTATTCGGAGTTTCTTCTTCAATTTTAGGTTTATTTTCTTTATCTGATTCAGATTTTGTATCTTTTGTCGTGTAAAGTGAAGAAGGCCGCTCTAATTTCATCGATTTCCAGTCTTCATCATTAACCTTTTTAAGTTTATCCTCATCCGTTTTAGAATTTAATTTTTCCTTTTCGAGCATAGCTTTCTGAATCTTTTCACTTATCATCTCTTCCTTTTCCTTATTGCTACAAGTTTCTTTTTCAATAATATTTTTAGCTGTACCATTTTCAAAGGTAATAACTGACCGCATTGGAGAGTTATTCTGATGAACATAAATTTTTGTTCCTGGAGAGCCTGATATGGTGGTGGTACTTGAAGCGTTTGAAGCTAGAGTAACGCTGCTAGAGATGCCTCTTTGCTCTTGTGGAGGACTGACAGGACTTAGGTTTGTAGAGACTTGAAGCGTTATTGAGTTCTGTGTTTCTTGAAGAGGAGTTAATGCTCCTTGCTGAATAACTTTTAATGGAGATGATTTGGCAGAGTTGACAGACGTCTTTAACGGAGATGAGAGTTTTCCATTAGATACAGACTTACTGCTCAAGTGTGTTGAATGTGTGGAAGACGTCTTTTGCAGAACCTGTTGGATAATATAAATATTACGTTAAAAATTAAACTTGTAGACGCAACCTTCATGAGTGTAGTAATAATTTGAATTGGTAATCTAACCTTGTGTTGTGGAGAACTATTCGATGACTTAGTGCCGCTACCAGTTGAGTCGTGACTGGGTCTCCGCGAGCTGTGTCGAGTGCTTGACCTTCCAAGAGTCGCCGTCTTTGCTGGACTTGCATTTGGTGCTCTAACGGACCCTGAACTGCCGCCACTTCTACTTGGTGATGAGTTGCTAGAGTGTTTACCATTTTGCACTGGTACTCGAGCTTGATAAGGATCCTGATTCGTGGATGGTAGTACAGAAGCTCGCGAAGTACATCGACTTAAGCTTGAACATTTCGAACGAGGAAGTGTAGAACAAGGTGATCGATGTCTTCTCGAGCTTCTTGGCGTTGAATTAGCCAGCAAACTTGTTGAGTCACCACTTGGCTGACGCCTGTGTCTCCTGGGTAACGTTGCAGAACGAACTGAACTCGAATCGTCCCAAACTTGGAAACTGGCCTGTGATTGGTCTAAACCTTCCATCATCTGCAGAAAAAGCAAAACAGTTAATAAATAAAGCTTTTTTCCTACTGTCTTATCCATTAAAGCTGAATTAATTACTGGAGATCTTTTTTCACAGATTGTACATGTTCTTCTCACCTTAATTAAATTGTAAACAAAATTCGTAGAAGTCTAATGCATTATTAAAAGTCTAGTGGATAAACATTGTTATTTTTTTAATTAGAATCTGGGAGAATAGAAAAATGGTGAGAATACATATAATTGTTATTAAAACTGGCAGTTTTTTGCCTTCAGGCTTTAATGGATTAAAAATGCAACATTTTAATATCAGAGGAACTGACCGATGGGCTGATGGCTCTCGTTTGCGTTGCCACGCTGTGAAGATGAACAACTCTGGGATTGAACCACTCAGTAGGCGGATACTGAGCACTGAAAGTACCCATTAAGGGAGTTCCCTTTCTCCTACTGCTTCGCCGAAACAGCCTTGATAGTAAGCCTATCTTCTCTGAAAATATGCCCGAGAGGCCTTTGAGAACGAGTGTAATTTTCTAGATCTTTTTATAAAGGATCGAGGAATGGATTGCTAGCTAAGGGTGACTATGAAGCATCGCACAATTTGATTTATAAACATGTATGAAAATAATCAAATATCAAGAAAAAGCTTTGTGTTAATGAAAGATGAAAATTTGAGATTTTTAGTTTGCCCAATCAATCACCCATCACCAAGCAAACCGTTCCCCAACAAAAACTCACTAGTGGGACTGTGAGGCGCGCTGTCTGTGCTGGCATACTCGGCGCTGGATGAAGTGTCACTTCTTTCTGGCCTTCGTGGCAAAGATCGAGAACTTCCGCTCCTGTGAAGCCTTCTGGCAGAACCCCAGAGTCTCAAAGAATGCCTTCTCTCCAAGCGACCTGGTACCGATCGACATCGTGCGAAAAGAATTTTGTCATTTGGATTCCCTGAAAAATTTATTCATAAATTATTCATCATACATTTTGTCTATGATAATTATAATCATTTACATATGTTTAACATTTTAATTATAGCAGTTTTTTATGTAAGTCATCTTTCATACTATTTTAATAAGAATATCTTATGAATGTTGTTAGCATTTCTGCTATTAAAATTTTGCTAATTACATTAGCTAGAATATCTTCTGTAAGTGATAAATTATATGCGATAAATGAATGCTAAAAATTCTCGTATAAAAGCACATCAGATTTATATATCATTATAATTATTTTATTTTTATCTATTTACATTAAGCAGCATTTAAATTCCACATTCGTGCTACTAAATTCCACTCAGACGCTACTTGTTTTCTTACATTAATCAGAATAGTCTTGGATGATTATTTTTTGTAGCAAAAAATCTCAATTACAAAGTAATTTAATACAAAATAAATTATGATGACATATATTTTTTTTAACTGTAAAAAATAATTATTTTTACTAGTCCCCTTTTCTCAACCTAGATACAGCCAAACAATAGAAAAGGTGTCATCCCGTAAGACTTGTTCAATAATTTTATTCATCCAGAGTAAAATAAATGATGGTAAGGATCAAGAGAATAGCTTGAAATACTTGAATCATTGAACAGCAATGATTTAATGACAGAGATTGAAAATGTGATTAGAATAAGGTTTTCTCACAAGGAACATTGACATTTGTGTTTTATGAATTGATATTTGTGTACAAAGAAAATATACAAAATGACAAACATAAAAGAAATAGTGTACGTGGTAGTTGTTGATCTTTGACCGCTGATTTTCAACAGACAAGTAACGGTAGACAATGTCGTGACCAATAGCTAATATATATCGTTGGACTAAACGTTTTCGTGGTATATCAAGACATGAGAGCATAGGATTTTGACGAAAAAAACAAGAAATCCCACCCTGGCTCTTATGAATGTAATGTGAACATAGACGTAAGCCGATCGCGTGTTCATGTCCCGTTTTTTCAGGCGCGCGTTCAGATACCTTGATGCCAACGACATGCAAATCGTTCCATCATGCTATCGCGTATCTTCACCATGTCTTCCATTAAACTTTTCAACTGTCTCAATTGTTCGTGATTATTTACTCTAGATCTCAGATATTTGTGCCTTTAGATGACGCGGATAAGAGCGATCCTCTTGTTTATTATATTATTACACATTTTTTTCAACAACAAATACGTGTTATTGGAAAACGAACACCGTTAGAAGCGGTATCAGAGGAAGATGCACGTTCCAAGTTGACCTACGTGAATTTCTACACTAGAAATGACAAAATTGCTTTGAGAAACATTTGTTTAAGGTTGTCGACCTTGTTTCTTTGTACTCGAGTTTGTATTGTTCTCGCTATTGTTATCAACATTTTTATTCAACGTTGGATATTTTAACTTCTAAATACACTCTGAAACCTCGAAGGAAACTGGATTCATTAAAGATCATTTTTCGTAAAACGATCGAAGATCCAAGACTCCAGACAACATGTAGACTTTTCAAGGACGACAACAACATAAACGAGCTTCTTTCTACTTTGCTTGTATGGTTCCTTATTCAAAAATATCTTTGCTTGAATATTCTTCAAATAAAATTAATTATTACCATCTAATTTTAAATCTCAAATTTTTTTATCGCCATGAATAACCATTTTTTATAGTTGTTTTATTTTTTGAGTTGTCAATTAAAGCCAAAGCAACTCGACAAAGCAAGCATCACATTTTCAACTTTATCGTGTGTAGAAAATAATCTCTCTGACTACTATAAGTAATGCGAAAACATTGAAGAGGTAAAAAATAATAAATAATAGTGAGAAAGTTTCATCAAAGTTTCTTAGTTGTTTTTGTAGAGATAAATAATCTCTGTTGCTAGCAAACTGAATCCAAAGTGCAAATTTGTTGGCTTTTCTCAGAAAACATTCAGCTATCGTGAGTGAAATATTTTTATTAAGGTTCTCCACTCGACTGAGAACGAAAAAAAATGATTAGAATGTTTGGAAAAAAACTCTGGAATTTACCTCCACAAATAACATCGGCTAAATTTGTCTGCACAGCTTGATGCGTCACATTTCCGTCCCTGAGGGTGAGCATCTCACCGTGGACGAGAGCCATAGCTTCGTCGTTACTCATCAGCATCCCACCTTGTCCTCGACAACTTCCAACTTCACGAGAATTCCTTCTGGAACCACTAGAATCTCGTCTAAGTCTTTTAGTCTCTGGAGTCACGACAAAGTAGCCTTGAGACGTGTGATATATCTTTCGTTCTTGCATAAGTTTTGCTAGAGCATCGTAAACAAGTTCACGACTTGGTCGTTGCATCGTTGGAAAAGCATTTCTCAGTGCTGAACGAAGTGTATCGAGTGTGGCTGCCTGTCTTTGTGATGTTAACTCCAAAATTGCCCAACATAAAGCTTCCGGAAGTGGCGTAAATTGGCCTTGAGCGACAGGTGCAACCAAACAGTCTTCGATGTCACCTGCAACAAGAAGTGGAAATTTATATTTAATAACAGGAAATGATTTTACATTCACTTTTATTTTATCCTGAATGGACTGCTTTTTTTTATCACAATTAAAGAGTAATTATTTGATATTTGATTTTTTCAATGTTAAAGTTTAAAAAGTATTAATTGATTGCAATAAAATTAATTTTCTTGAAAATATTTTTTATTTAATCAATTAAAAGAATGGATGAAATGGAATAAGTGTTATTAACAAAGTTATTTATAAAAAGGAATTTTTAATGAAGGATAATACCAAGTATGCAAACATTTCGCATGATTCTGTAACAGTAAAAGAATCTTTTCCTTTCTAATCTCAGACGGAGTTTCAAATTTCAGTTTATCCCAATGTTATTGCAAGGTATTACAGTACAGTGTCTACATTTATGTTCGAATTGCATACAACATATATACTAGCTTCAATATAACGTTGAGATATCGACTTGGGATCGAGTTTCTACTTGGCCTTATATACAAGACACACTGTTCGCGCCTTAATCGTATCCATGCCTGAGGCCATACACTGGATCCGCGAGATTGTGAGTTACGAAGCTATAAAAGCAGCAAAGCCGCCAACTTTAAGACATCTTTTTTTTCATCACTGACATAGACACACACCTGTTGCATGCAATCAAAGGGAAACTCAATAGGTATAGTGCTTTAGAATATTTTATTAAAGCTTTTGCCGTTATTTTATTTCAATTCATGTCATTACTTGATAGTTTACAATCAGATGAGTTGAAAAAATAATGATTATTTCTGGAGAATTTTTAAACTTTTGTGCTAAACAGTCTTGTAAGCAATATCATGGATAATACAAAACCTTTATGTTGATGATCAAAGAAAAGATCCGCAGTAATTTTATCCTATTCACACGCTGTAAATTCACGTCTATAATAATTAATTAAGACGTTGTAACGTTGTTCTCACTGTTCACTCGTCTGTTTAAGGTTCTTTTATTTCATGATTATTTTTCTTTCCCTTCTCTTCTCAATCTTAGGCAGCTCTTGTGTTCACGAGACTTCTTAGAATACTTATATTCACTCGAGTACTCTTCTCCAGGACTTCTCCATCGTAATTGCGTGCATGTAGTCTTATTTTATCCAAGCTTTTGGTGCTGCCGACGTCGTCGGGTGTCTCACGCATGAAAGCAAAAGCTGTAGGGAAGCTCTCGTGCAAATTGATACGACTGGCACATCGCAGCGACACGAGAGGAGAACGTTCGCCCTCGATGGAACGCAGCTCATGGTGCCTGTGGTAATAAGTACTCGAGATATCGATGATCGCTCTCACAGCCGCGTGATCTTGAGGCATGTCTCTCGATCATTGCTTATACCCTTCTACAATCAAGTCTGCACTTGCTCGCTCGGCAGGGCATTCATGACCAGCATGCGATAGTCATTTATATCTTGTCTTCAACATTTTTTACATCGTACTCATAAATATTGCTTGTATTATTTGATAAATATTCAATTACAGAGTGTGAAAAAATTTTTTAATCAAAAGTATTTTCAAATTTGCCTTTTTTTTTTTTTGTTTTGAGTCTTAATTTTTTTTTATATTTTGACAAATATTTCCTTATCATTACTTCATTTGAATCATTCTCTTCAATTGATTTAAAATCATGTAAAGTTTAATAAATTTTTAAATATTCTATTTTTTCACTTCAACAAAATTAAATGACCCCACAGTTGTGTTAACAAAAAATAAAATATAAATACCAATAAAAAACAGTTTCATTTTGAACAAAACCATTGACTGTCAAGTCACGTAGTCAAGGGACACCCTGATGATGCGGAATTCGGCTTTGACATTACGAACATCCGTTGGAAAAAGTATAGATTATCCAGGGCTACGTTCTGGTGTTTTTGAAATTCCAGCAGTATATACTGATAGAAGGTCTTGTAATAAACGTGAAGAGAATACATTAAATTGAAACTCGGTTGCTAATTTTGCGATCGATTTGTCTGTGCAGAAGCATGAGACATCAAGATCACAGACAGTTCAGAATATGATTACAGCAATGAGCATCCAATATTCATTCATCAGATCCAGACGCTCATATGCAGTTAAGCTACTTGTACATTATGCTGCCGTATAGACTTGCATGAGTTGCACGTTGGTATAATAATAAATATCCTTAACGGACCTGCAATTAATTGACGATCATAATGGATGCAAAAATTATCAGAGTCCATCAGAGATAAATGATTGTCGACAACACGACCCTCGCTTGGGTCAAGATTTTGTATAATACATGTTTGCAGTCAAGGGCGTTTTACAACCCTTTTCATGTAACCATTGCGACATTGATCATCTTCCCACCATGGCCACCAGATTCTTCAATATTTATGTGAAATTATGGTTACTAAATTCCCAGCGGAATTCCCTTTATCCCAATGCAAAAGACCACACAGACAGAGGGAATATAAAATGTTTTTTTAATTTATTACTCATCTTTTTAAACAAAAATACCCAGCTGTTCTAAGATAACGAATTTCCCATTATTTTCTTCCATGAATTTTTGTGATAAATTTGAAGATATAAAAATAATAAGGTAACTTGAAATAAAGTAAAGAAATTCCTTCTGGTTTTAAAGAAAAAATGTTATTTCACTCGCGATGCATTTCAAAATGTCATTATATCTGTTAATATATAATTTTCAGTGTAGAAAAAATGGTGATTCTTATTCGAGAGTTATTTTAAGTTGATTCTAATTAAAAAGCAAACATGACAGACAGAAACCAGTCTGCAAAGTACGGTCTACAGTGAAGATGGAAATACGAGATCGTTTTCTTTAGAGTTTGAATATAAAACGACTTGTAGGACTAGCATTCAGGCGTCAGGCGTTCATTTACTTGGCTTTGAAAACTATAAAACAGCCATTGAGTGTGTCTTTAGCTGGAATCTGTTCTTGATTATTTACACTCGCACACTATCCTCCAATAAAATCATATTATATCTCTGTTGACTACTTGACTCGTGGATTAAAAAACCGCACATCCAGTCGACTGATTTATAGTCAAATTTAATTTAATCTTGAGCAAATATTAAAGAGAAAAGTGCGTTTTATGATGTTTTTTCAATGAGTTATCATGTAATATTTTTGTTTCATTAAACCACCACCAGATTCACTAGGATTACTCTTTTATTACGATCCGCATTATATTACGGACCAAGTTGCCATGGTGTAATAAACGAGGATTCAAGGGTATAAATAATTCCAAGCTCTGGGGAAGGAGTATGAACGAGGTGCTCACAACGAGATAACGTGACACTTTCAACGAAATATCTTCAGCCTGGCAAACATTACCTCGGTGAGTATTATACCACTTATGCAATTCACATGCCTGGGCACGTGCAGAAATAGTCTTCATTCCAGTGTGGAATAAAAATCATTAATAAGAATCGCATAAATTCCTTTGACAATATAGAGGATAATGAATATGCCGGAATTATTCTTGTCTCTATTTTACTTTCGATGCCAACGTGATATCGATTAAAATCAGTATGTTCTGGTCATAGAATTTATAGCAATAGAAGAATAAGTGTGCTAATATATGTGTCGCGATTCATGCGTAACTTGCGACGAGGAGTGGCCCACCCACACACTCCACAGGGAGAATATAATGTCTCCGCCCTACCTTCCGGGCCCTCAACATTGAGATCTGATCATCACAGGTGCATGGAGGTTTTTTTTGTTGATTGGGTTCTAGTGTATTATATAATTATATGTGGACTGATCATAATAGATGACTGGACAATAAGATATGATTGTGGGTATACTAGTTTATGAGAGGGAAAAATAAGAATAAGAAGCTTACAATATCGGGATTGGAGGATGAAGAGAATGTTTATTTCTGATCAGAAATGATTAGAGTTTAACTGAGTAATAATTTTTTATTTTCAATTTTATGAGTCATGTTTTAAAGCTATTGATCTCATTAATTATTTTAATGTGGAATTAAGTAGTAACCCGTATAAAAAATTTTGTTTCTCGAAAGTTCCCCAGTTTTGGAGCATAATTAATGCTAAAATTGAAGCAAGTTCCTGTTTTACCCCATTTTAGAAGTGAAGTAATGGATTTTTTAAATGTTTGACCCGATTCCGCATTTCTAGGCATCGAGACGAAGAGAATGAGTGGTCAAACTTGAAAATCGGACAACTTTGATTTTTCGACCCCAAAAAATGGCAAGTGGTACCCCTTTCCATTTTTTTAGGCCAAAAAATAAAAGTACTCCGATTTTGATGATTGAGGGCTCATTCTCTTCGTTTTGATGCATAGAAATGCGGAATCGTGGCACAGCCCGGAAAAATTCACTTTAACACCCTTAAAAAGGGGTAAAACTAGTTACAAATTAAGATTCATCATCCCCTTGACTTTGAACCCTTATAACTCATGAACAGAACGTCCAATAACTGTTTTTAGGGACGTTTTGAAATCCTCACAATCTAAGCTAAAGATGTATATCCATAAAAAATGTATAAAAAATTTCTTTCCCCCTTAAAATCGCTAAAATATTAAAAAAAATCACATTTTTTGGGAGTTTGCCAACTATTTTGGCCATTTTGAGGGTGAAATAATTTTTTTGAACGATTTTCATGGATATGTATCTTTAGCTTAGATTCTGAAGTTTCTAAACAGTCCTTAAAAATCATTATTCGATGACTTGTATAAAAGTTATCGAGGTCCAAAGTTCAAAAGTAGATGATTTTCTGACCCTCACTTGACTTTGGACCTCGATAACTTTTATACAAGTCTTTGAATAATGATTTTTAAGGACTGTTTAGAAACTTCAGAATCTAAGCTAAAGATACATATCCATGAAAATCGTTCAAAAAAATTATTTCACCCTCAAAATGGCCAAAATAGTTGGCAAACTCCCAAAAAATGTGATTTTTTTTAATATTTTAGCGATTTTAAGGGTGAAAGAAATTTTTTATACATTTTTTATGGATATACATCTTTAGCTTAG